TCCATTTTCAGATGATTTAACAATAAGCTTTACACGGACTGGGGTTCAGTCTTATAAGGAAAAGCTTGCTGAAGTTCTAGAAAATCACATACGTTTTTGCTACCTCTTGAACATTTACTACAAAGTAAACAAGTGGGGATTTTTCCAGCAAAAGATCTACAAACACAAGACGAGATGAACTGTAAGGAATCATTCAATACAGAGCGGTCAGGAGTATTGATTCTGCTAGTTATTTGCTCACGAAGAGTGTTCAACAAGGACCCCAAGAATTCGGAACAACCTTGTTGTCTTAACGAGTATCTAGTTGAATTCAAAGGCTCTAGGAAATCGGTTGGTGGGAAAGATGATACATTCTTACGAAACTGAAGCTGCATGAACAGGTGTTTGAGTTTGGTGAATAAGTAGGAAACATTCTCGTTCTCGTTCATCGTTAAACATCTCCTTCTTGAAATTCTTCGTCATGAACAACATTCGTGAAATGCTATTTATGTAGCAAGTGTTTCCTAAATTATACAATCCAATTTTCTTCGCAAGATTTTCAGGACAACTGGGGGCTCCCCAATCAGTTGTTGATCCCTCTGAGTGATGAAGGATTTCGTAGGGAAATCGATTCGACTCTTGCTTCATGAAGCTCTTCCACTGAAAGGGAACCAGAACCACGAGGACTGTAGCTCATATTTGGGAAGCAAGAACTGTTATAAATTTCTGAATTTGAAAATCTAATATGAATTTCTGAATTTACTTTATTTTTTACATCTTTTTCATCCTGTATATATATTTAGAAGTTGGCTATAATACCTAAGTTCATAAACTGATGCTCATAAAATAGTATTTGCAAATTGAGTCAAACCTATTGTTTTGGTAATTTTCATAATATTATGCATATTCTTTGGATTTGGTTCCTGCAGTACCGTTGAAGATCTCATCCAATAATTGATCAAAGAACATCGTTGTTCAGTTATTTTGGGGAAAGACATTTGGAATTCGGAACGAACGTATAATTCCTTGGAGCCGATATTTCTAATACAAAAACAGTTGAAACCCTATATTTCAGTTGACCTGGAAATGAATTTCAAATGGAATCCTCCTCACTGGAGGCTGATTCGAGGGTGACTAGGTGGCAGTTATCCAAACCGGCAGAAGGCAGTAAGGCAGAAGTGGTCCCCTAGATTGACCAGCTGAATCACCTGATATGACTCCCTTGGATTTTATGTGGTAGACAGACATCATTATTGTCAGGAGTGAGTTATGAATACAATTTTTATTGAAATTGTGATATTATATTTACCGTTTGTATGATGATTCTTAGAAGAATCTAGCGATCGGCCGCAGCCCCGCACGGGTTCAGTGCTGATACTAAATATAAATTCACCCACCGGAAATTCAAGGGCATGGAGAAACAGTGATGAGAAGGTTATTTTCATATGTGAACGCTCCCATTTTATCCCCAGGGGGGACTCCCCAATTGAAATATTCGAGTGTGCATTTAAGACCTGAGAAGAACCTTTATATAAAATTTTAGCTTTCTAGGACTCACCTGTGTGAATGAGTGTTATGTTCCTTTCGCATTTTTTTGAAAAATTAAAATCTCGTGAAAATTCAAATATAAACAAAAATTGAGTTTTGCAATCATACATTTTTTTAAAATTGGATGTGGGTTCAAAACATATCTTACCCTCGGTTATTTTGATCATTGAAAATGACTCAGCAAAGAAGCCATGATGTTCATTCATGTCAATGTTTTTATTTTTGTTTATATTTGCGTTATCAGCATGTCATGTCATCGGACAAATATGTGTGATATCCATGACTAATGTATGTTGTGGTATGCCACTGCATAATATTATATAATAGTGAATGATAAGTTGTATCAGTGGAGTGGTACATATTACAAGAAATATTAAAAATATTCGTCTTGAATTTTACAGGTATTGTCAAACAGGAGGTTTCTTACATTACATTTCGTGACAGACCATTTTTAACAAATAGTTACAATATTTGTTTAATAATTCAAAACTTCAGGTTTCCAACTTCAAAACTGACGAAATTCAATACAATCTTTAAGGCCCTATTTTCCTCCCTTGGTGGATGACATTTCTGATTCCCTTCCTTGATGCTTATATACGCTATACAAAGAACCTACCTGCATATTCAAGATTCTAAGTTCAGTAGATTCGGCTGTACGTTAATATCCCGTCGTCTTACAGTAGAAGCAACGCGTAACGGCTTACTGAGTTGCGTCTGACGTTGATATCTTGTCTCATTCGAAAGTTAAGGGGAGGGGGTTTTTCCGTTCACATTGTATGGATTTGTTAAGGCTCTGATACCTAAGAATTTCCAAAGATCCTTCGACTTGTCTATGAGGATGGACTGATTTTGAGAAGAACCTTTTCTAAGTGAGCGTCCCAGATGAGTTTTTAATGTTGATAATTCCTAGATACTTCAATTCCGATGCAAATGGAAACACCTCACCATTGAAGTCCATCCAAGCAACAGAGTGCTCAAAAACATTATCTTGCATAGTGCACGTCATCTCCCAGACAAGGCTGCTTGTACAAAGTCGCACTAAGGAACGACTGTTTTTTTGAATACTATGCGGCTGGGGATAGAAAAATTATCCAAAGTTCAACTAATGCAGGAAACAAAAACAATTTTGTGTATTTAACATTAAATGAACTACAGAAAATGGGGTCATTTTATTTCAGCAGGACAAACGAGTAAACAGTTTTTTTTGTTTCAAAATGATGTTTTAGCGTATAATTAAAAAAAAAAGATAAAATAATGAATCCCTTTGCATTATAGACCGATGACTCAGATGCTGAAGAACTGCTTCTCGAAAAAACATCTTTGAGATTAAATATCAATGGATTTCTGTCAATTGAGTTATCCATTAGATGGTCTGTTTATGATATTTTAATTTCTACTTTATCTTTCACATGTCCTTCGCAAGTATTCCATTTTTGAGCGGTAATAGACGAAACAGCTTCACTAAAATTATTTTTAAGATCACAAAATTTTAAAGTAGTATTTTTTTGGCAACATGGTAAGGGGTAAGACATAAAACTATTCTGTTATGTGCTTCAGCAATTTCGTCAACAATGTATTTATTATATTTGGTTTTATGTTCATTCACTATCCTTAAAAGTTTTGCTTTTAACTTGTATACTTTTCAAAGGCATCCGGTCTTAAAGTACAGTTTTTTGTGGCTGCAGTAGGAATTTTTTCGGCTTCTCTGGAATGGTATGAAGCGTTGTCTAAAACGATTACACAATTCTCTTCTAGTTTCGGAAATATGTTTCCAAACTGGACTTTTCATGAGGGGATGTCCACAGAGAGGGGTCTTATCACCCCTTCTTTGAAACATAGTTCTGGATATCCTAATTATTCACCTCAACAATAATGAATTCTACACAATTGCATATGCAGATGACATAGTAATCATGCACACTGGCAAATTTGTGAACACACTGTGCGATAGAGCGCAAGATGGGCTCAAATTGATAGTAACACTGTCGATCAATCCCAAGAAGATTGAGATGGTCCTTTTCACCAGGAAAAATAGTTTATCGGGCTTAAAACCTCCCGAAATCATTAAAAGTAAACTAAACTTCTCTGAAGAGGTGAAATACCTTGGTACTATCCTCGACAGGAAGCTCACCTACATGGAACTCTCACCTACAGAGTAGAGCAAAAAGAGCATTTGTGGCTTATGAGCAATGTCGGAGGACAGTAGGACGGTAGGTCTTTCACCCCGTGTGGACACCTGAATCTACCCTGCAGTAATAAGACCTATGTTAACGTACGGAGCCATTGCATGGGGATCGTAAGTTCTACAAGCAACGGCCATTCAAAAATTATATCAAATTCAGCGATTGGCTTGTTTAAACATCACAGCAGCCATGAGAACAACACTAACCGCGGCAATGGAATTAATTACTGGTCTGACCCCTCGAGACCTGTACGTTAAGGAGGTTGCGTTAATGGCCATGTTACGATTGCGCACGGCTGGTGTAAACCTCGAAGTAGAAATGGGTCAATTGAGGCTGAGCCTATGGCGAGAAGGCTCAGGATGTGGAGTGTACTCCAGATCACTAAGCCGAAAGATTAAGTGGGGCATGGGAAAAATACCAGCGTGTTTCATACAGAACTGGCTGGTATCTCAATCGCCAAAAAAGAAATAACCAGGAAAGGAATTTTTTGCAAAAACATAACTGCCCTATTAGCCTTGAACAGACGTGTGTTACCTCAGGGCTAGTACTAGAGTGCCACCAAGATTTAGCCAAAGCCTCGGTAGATAATAACATTATCCTGAGGTGGATTAAAGGGCACGGCGGGAGTAAAGGTAATCGCATTGCTGACTCTTGAGCCAAGGAAGCGGGTGGACTAGGAATTTTAGGACCCAGTGGCAGCTACGGCCTGATGACTTCGACTAGCTGAACGTCACGCAAACATGAAATCAAAGTATGCAATCTTGCCAGGATCGCCCTTGGCGACCCTGGGAAGCTGGCGCCGAAGAAAAACCGGGCGATAACCAGAAAAAATCTACGCTCAACAGTAGGATTTCTGACTGGCCACTGCCAACTAAGAAAACACCTCCACAATATGGGGCTGGTGGACACACCTGTATGCAGGATGTGTGTGTTCGGCGAGTCTTGGCCTACACCTGCCGATATAAAGAAGATGTCTCCTAGAGACCTGCTCACCTTCCTGGAAAGACCAGGATGGACGATGACCTGGGAGGACAACTCCTCCGGGAGGATGAACAATGGGTCACATGTGGACTAAGTGCTGTAGGCCTACAATCAACCTCCCTACTCTACAGATACAGATGTTCCCAAACAGTGTCCCCCCTAGCTTCGCACATGTTTTCAATAAATGTTTGTCTACTGTTTTTACCCCTTTCCTTCTCCCGGGCCTACCTCACTGTGAACGCAGCCAAGAAGCCACCTCATCGGCCCCCACCGTTTTCCGCCGCATTTAATCACACGGGGCAAAGGAACGGGGCTCGACCCAACCGTCATCCCATTAACGGCGACGGATTTCACCGTATGTCGTACGTCGAAAGTTGTTTGTTTCTTCTTCAGTCACGAAAAACCAGCCAAACGCGGAACGCGCGTCAACATCCATAGCTTACTAGGTTCGGAAAAGGTATCGATTCGGTGGTATTCTTGCCCTATTTCCCCTTGTGATTTGTGATCCCTTTCCTTTGTGCCGTTCATTTAATCTGTGTGAATTTCTCTGTGACGTCAGCGTTGTAGTAAAGGGAGCCGACGAAGGTAAATATCTGTTACCTCCTATTGTTAGTTACCTGGAGAAGGTACTGTGAGGTTTATTGTCGTTTTGTTTTGGTAGGAAGTGCGATTTTGTTTGGTAATTTTACACTCGAGATAGACGCGTTAGCTATCTTTGAATTGTTAAAAAGCGCGGCCACACCTGTTATCAAGAGTGGGCAGGTAACAAAACAAATCATCATCGTTCGCGGGCAGCGGCGTGCGCTGAATATATTATGGGATGGAATGTTTCAATCGCCATTTCTCCTGTGGTATTTATTCAATTACACAAATTTGTTGCAACAGACTGAGTATTTAACTATGCATCACAATGAAAAGGTTGAGAAATATATGTACGGAAAAGTCAATTTTACGTTATAGGTTTATTCATATTGGAGTTAAAAATAAACGATACGATAAGATTCATTTAACTACTTTACATTTCAAAAGAATTGCTAAGCAAATCGATAAAGTACCGATGCACAGGTATAATATTTTGAAAATCTGAACTTTGAATCGTTAATCTCCCAAAATTGACACTTGTTAAATGACACTCTGCCAAATAAACAATTGTATCAAAATGAAATCAGTATAGGTAATCGACGATAAAGGAACAAATGAAGCATCAAAAGTTTAAATTGGAGATTATAGCTTTCGTAAAATTAGCGTACTAACTACATTTTTGTAACAAAATTACTAATGCAATAACCTCCTGTATTATAATAAACTAGTTTTTCTTTTGTCTAACTGTAGAAAGATGAACATCGAAATTCATCATTTCTATCAAAAAAGTTTTTAAAATCGAAAGAAGAAATATCAGTGCAAAAAATATTAGACTGATCGTGATCTAAAAGATGGGATAATGTGTATTGTCATTTCATTTAGAAAATATTTCAAAGAGGCAAGAAAAGTAGGTACCTACCAGGAACGCAAAAAAGTCACTAGACCAGTGATGGGTAGAAACACCTGTTTCATTTTCATGGATAGTGTAATCCTATGTTTATCAAACACGAGATGATTAATAGAATATTTAAAAAAAGATGAATACATGAATGATATCAATATTAGTATTTCTTGTATGGAGTTTAGAGGTTTTGCCCCTCGATTCATGGGTCGTGCGAATCAAGAGCCCAAGAGTTCCTTCTTTATCTTTTAGAAGGTTCACATGATGACGTTAATAGAAATGCTGAGAAACCTAAACCAATCTTAACGAAGATTGACAAAAAATTGAGAGAAAGCGAGAAAGCATAAGAGTCATGGCTGATATATTTGAGTATCTAAGAATGTAGATAATTTCGTTGGTCAGTAACCGATACTTTCTGGGACTTGTCACTCCCTATACCCCAAAGAACTGGCCAATTGAGATTGTCACAATGCTTGGATTCCTTTACAAGAGAGGAAACTTTGGATGGACATGAAAAACGCTTAAAAGTTATCACGACAAGATTAACTTGACGCCACGCAGTAAGTCATTGCGCGTCGCGTATACTGTAAGACAACGCGGGACGATGCGCGGGGGTAGAGGGGCAGTCTGAGCAATGAAGCGCTATCGCCGAGAACGCGACCCGAACGCGGGCAGACGCGTGGTGAGGGCAGACGTCGTTGACGGTTGTGTTAGTTTTGCGAATTTCTTTATAGATACAGTCTCGAAGCTATTCATTACTTAGTGCAGTTGGCATATTGTTTTAGGTACTGTATTTTTAAACTAAACTATAATTTACTAGCTGCTGCTTGCTCTTATATTAACGTACAGCCGAAGCTACTGAACCTAGAATTTTGAAATATGCAAGTTGGTTCTTTGTATAGCGTAAATGAGCACCAAGGAAGGGACTCAGGAATTTCCACCCCAAGGAAAAAATAGGGGTTCAGTTTTGAAGTTGGAAACCTGAAGTTTTGGGTTAATAAAAAAATATTGTAACTATTTGTTTAAAATGGTTCGTCACGAAACTTAATGTGACAAACCAAATTCCATGCGGGTGAAGCCGCGGGCAACACTAGTTATTGATAAATTAATTCAGTAAAATATGTCAGAAACGAAAAACCATCAAAGATATCTTCTACTATGGTCTTTCACATTGAACTGTAAAAAAACCTTGTTGAGTTACGAGTCCACTTATGGAACTGGTTTGAACGAGGAAATAATATATTGGAGCTCAGTTTTACCGCAAGTAGCTATTTGTTCATAGAAATAATGCAACTGTAAATTCCTATCACAAATACCATTCACCAAAAAGAATTGAAGTAACTCCTTTGCATGATTTCCCAACTGCGTGCCACGTTCCTTATTCACGTTTTAATATTTATTTCTTTGATTTTATCGCTTGTGCCAAGCGCAAGGCCACACAAATCCATACTGCTTTCAATTAAAACAAACATAACCTTACTGTTCGAAAACTACTCATACACACTTCAAAGCGTTTTATACGTGTTGATTCTGATGTTAAAACAATACGAGGTGAAAATGACCACATAAAGATACAATACGAACGTGATATTGTATATACAGAGTTGTTTTTGGAGTGGGTCTAACAGAACCATCAAAGAGAAGTGTTGATATTGTAGTAATAATGATTCGTTTTCTGCAAGCTGTTGGGAAATTATACTCCTTGACGAAAAATGGAAAAATAAAATTAATTTGTGTCGAATTATATCAATACTTTTCTGGAGATGAAAGTGTAAAGCTAAATTAACTCTCTGAAAAAGTGAAATATCTGGAAACGACTGGAAAAGGAGCCCAAAATGAGCCAGAAATTCTCAAAATATTTCAATTTCTCATATTTTCTCTCACTATTTTCGCTCTCATCAAATACTCAATTCAAACAAGGAGCAAAGAATCTTTCAGTAGGGATGAAGGAACTTTAAGTCAAAGAAATCTGGCAGGGCCAAGTTGAAATCCTTCAGTTTGTGAAAGTTTTCAATTTGAAATGATTTTGAACTCATTTCATGCTTCTTCAACATCCTACTGAAAAAGTGATTACCTCAGATGAAAGCGAAAACATTTCTTGCAAATATTCTTGAAAATCTGATAATTTGAAGTGTCTTTTCAAAATTACAGGCTCTTATTCTAGCGTCCTCGGAATTTTAACTCGTTTTCTAGAGGTGGTTTCTGCTAGATTCACCATTAAGTTGGCAGAACCAAATCAAAATCTTTCACCACTTTCTACTTTTTCGATTTCCAATAATTTCAGACTCATTAAAGGCTGGTTCATACCCCATTTAACAATATTTTGCTTCTCATGAAGCAAAAATATTGAATGAAATATTTGAATAACTGTGTCTGGACCTTTGCCACGAGACCTGAAAGCCTCTAGATTTCGTCTGGAGATAACTGGATTAATTTGGGACGTTGCAAGATACATTCAAGATCAATGCAATCATAACTGCTGATATTTTTGAATTTTTGGAAGATATGGAAACTTTTACGGGATTCTGAAAACTTCAGTTCGGAAGTTTGAGTTGGAATTCTAGAAAGTCTAGTTTTGCAACACTGCCATCCCACTTTAGGATATTCTGTCTCTCCAGAACTAACTTAGGATCCCAGCTTCGATATTCAGCTAACCTCTCAACCTTTGAGCTGCCTAGTCAAACTTCTTCTTCATTTTGTAACTAGTCATTAGAAATAAATGCCTGGTATGCTTGTGAATTTTATTCCGTTGTTGTTCCAGTCCTTCAACAAACTTTCTGTTGCTTTTGAAGATTATGGACTCCTGCTGGGCGTTTTGTTAACATAAAAAGAAAGACTGGCTCCACTTTTCCTCGTTTTTTACCTCATACCGGAATTGGTGGAATAAGCAGAATTAACAAAGAAACAGCATGTACAACATTGAGAGTATTATCAATTTTGACAAGCATTTAGACAAATAATCTTCAATTTTGCGTTCCCCCAAAACTTCATTCCATAGATTTCATCCATTGAGATTGAATGGAAAGTAACAACTTGAAGAGAATCGAAACCGACGGAAATCGTGGTATTGGAATAAGAAAAAACGCCCATTATAGATACTAGCTGATTATATTATTTTCATCTTCGGTTGGAGAGTAGTTTTAGTGGAACTTCTTATCTTCAATTCCCAAAAAGGGCAAACAAAATCTTCCAAATAACTATAGACTAGTCGCTTTGGAAGGCTTTAACATCTTGAGCGACCATCAATATGGCTTTCGGAAAAAAAGATCAACAGGCGAACAGGCGTATGTCACCCATGGCTTATGCCACCCATATTTGGAATAACACAATCGAGAAACATGGAGAGTCATGACCTGTTGCGCTTGATATTTTTAAGACCTTTGACTGTGTGTGGCATTTGGGTTTGTTGGCCAAACTCCGATGTCTCCAACTCTATTTCTATTGTATATCAACGACTTATTGAAAAAAAAACAAGAATCCAATATTTTGCTTTGCTAACGACAGCACACTTGTCTCGTCATTTCATTTGGATTCCAGGACATCGGTTGCGGAAGCACATCTTCACCGGCAGCAGGAGGTTGCATATTTTAATGATGATCTAGAGGTGATTTCGAATTGGAGTGGAAGTAACCAGGCTCAATTATTCATATTAAATATACCGTCAATAAATTGAGGACCATTCTATTCAAATTTAGGAAACTTAAAGAACTCCTGCCTCTAAAATATCTCAAAACTTAATACTACTCGCTTGTGGAAGGTCATATCTGCTATGGAATAATAGTTTGGGGAGGAGCATTAAATAATCATATTTCTCAAATTGAAATTATGCAAAGGCGTTTTCTTAAATTAATATTCTCTAAAAATGGTAGGTATCCTTCTGATAAATTATACATCGAAACTCGTCTGTTATACATATATATACATACAACAGTTGTATTTTTTATGTTCTAGCACTAAATATCATACAAATAGACATACGGCATCGCTTCCTTCACATCAGTATCACACCCGCCAAAGAGATCAGTATACTACACCCCTAACGGTCAGGATCGTTACACAAAGATCATTTACTTACTTTGCGCCTAAACTCTACAACCGAATTCCTGAAAATATAAAATCTATCTCAAATATCAATCGCTTCAAAATCTGCTCTCATTGAAAAATAATCTACCTGGCTACTTTGCGTACAACAAATAAACAGGTGAAAAATCGTGAAGAATCGTCTTTGTCTCTGTAACTTTCAAATGTGCTCCAAACATTGAATGAAAAATAAATAATTACGATGTTTATTTGAAGTGTGGAACCATTATAAACAAGTTTACGATTAAACAGAGGTATCTTGTTTATCGGAAATCCACATAGAATGAGCTGCATTTGAATGTATTTCAATGAATGTCGTTCAGGACACGGCCATTATAATATATTACTCTGTTCACGAATTTTCATTTTTCCCAAGAAATATTCATGTATTTCTTTTTTGTCCCTCTCAAATATAATATATTTGTGCCAGCGTTTTTCTCCTCAATCGTTCATTGGTCTCTTCAATATTGGGAAAAGTCGCAGGGTGCCAAATCTTGCAAATACGGTGGCTAAAGAATGATCATAAAATTGCGAACAAGCAATTTCGGATTGCTTCTCGCATGCGGCGCATAACTTCAAGGTAATATTGCTTATTGACCGTACGACCATGTGACAAAAACTTCTGATGAGCTACGCCACGGTAATGAAAAAAACAGTGAGTCTTGGCTCCTCTGGGCTCTTCCATTGGGACCTTGATTTCGATGTCATAGTCATATAACCACGATTCGTCATCAGTTATGACAAAAATTGCTACTACGTAAATATGAATTTATCTGTTTTGGTTTTTCATTTGTTGGAACTGCCATAGAACTCTTCTGCAATTGAATCGTTTATTTCAGAAACCACCCAAAGGACAAAATATCAAAACATGTGTTTTAGGTGGTACTAAAAAAAAAGCCATTCATTTCCAACAGGATTACCCAGTTACAGGAAATGCTATGATCACAGAGTATATATGGAATAAATTTTAAAAATAATGGAATATAGAAATGTATAAAAGCAAATGCTGAAACAAAGTATATATAAAATATTCGTATAAGTAGAATTTCAAAGAGGAATGAAAAATTGTGTATGTAACACAAAAAGTTACAAATCATGCAATGTTACAGTACTGTCAAAAAAGTTATTTATAGTGTTATTACAAGTGATTATGGATACAAGATACCAAGGCCTTCAGACAGTCGAAATGAATATCGCACTGTTCATAGATTTTATTGAATCTACTGCTAATAAAATTCAATGGTGATCGTAGCATAACATTTGTGCGTGATGCTTCTCAATAGAATTTCAGATTGTGTCGACCTTCACTTCTTGGTACTAAGAAATTGATCTCGGGTAAAAGAACCGTACTGTCAATATTGTTGTTGAGTAATTTATGCAGGATTTTTATACCAAGGATAACTCTCCTATTTTCCAAAGATGCCATATCAAATCGTGTCAACAATATGTTATGATCTATGCCTCTCGTGGGGTATTGACCATCAACTTTTAGACATAAGTATTTTAGGAAGTTCCTTTGCACGCTCTTAATTGATAATTTTTGGTAGTCGTAAACCGGATTCCATAAAAAAGAGCCATACTCTAACTTAGATCTGGCATATGCAAAATATAGTAATTTTAAGGTGGCAATGCTTTTGAAATTCTTGCCATTTTTGTAAATGAATCCAAGCATCCTATTTGCATCAGCAGTCATATTCCTTATATGTGTTGTAAATGTTAATTTACTGTCGTATGTTATACCAAGATCTTTTATCTCATGTACGCGATTGATTGTAGATTTGTTGATTGAATAATCGTACAATCAAGTTCGCTTTTTTGTTGTGAATGATATTATTTTATATTTGGATACGTTCAGTTGTAGACGATTATCATTACACCAAAGTTTGATTACATCTAATTCATGTTGTACACATTGGCAGTCAGTAATGTCGTCGATTTTATAATATAGTTTCAGGTCGTCTGCAAATAGTAGGCTAGGAATATTCAACGACGTTGCCAAATCATCAATAAAAATGAAAGAGGTCCAAGATTAGAACCTTGTGGTACCCCAGATGTAACTACGCACTAGACCGATTTGGAAGATTCATATTCTGTTAACAAGATATGATTCAATTAGATAGGCAACTTAGGTATAAAATTCTCAGATTTAAATGTAATCAGTTGGTTTTGAAAATGGTGTAATAGCCGAAATTAGTCAACAATAAAGAAATATCGTGGAAAATAGACAAAAGTGTATTTTTGTAGTGTATCCTCAGATTCCTACTGTAGTCCAACAGCTGTTTGGTATCATGCTTCGAAGGGTTCCGGGAATGGCTTACGCCTTGGAGTGAGCCAATCCTGGAAGATTCTGCCAGAAGTCCATGAATCTTCTTGTCATCCAGGTGTTCAATCTTTGTTTGGCAAAGCTTAAAGCGATGCCAATGACAGGTTCTGGTCCCATGAAGCTGCTTGCAGCACCCTCTTTTGCAAGGGAGTCAGCAGCCTCATTGTCTTTCAGGCCAATAAGGCCTGGAATCCAGACCAGAAACAATCTGTTAAGTCTTCTTATCGAGGAGACATTTTTTTGCCACCAATTTAGACGTTGCTCGGAAGGAGCCAAGAGCTTCCAACGCCGCTTGACTGTCCGAGAATATATTTATTGACTTGTGTCTGAGGTTGGATTCTTCCAATCTCTCCACACATAATTCACATAGGTTCCTAGGCAGGTTGATATCTCTGGGTCTGCGACTGAAAACACCTGCACCAGAACTGTATGGTGTTTTTGATCCATCTGTGAACCAACAACTATCTACTCTTTATATTTCCTTCTCCCGGAGGATCAAGTCGTCTCTACTCGGGAACAGTCCCTTATAAGGCAGTTCGTAGTTGACAGTTGGAGGCATAAGGTCAGAGGTCATTTTCAGTATGCTGTGATTTCTAGTGTTAACCAACAGTCTGTTGCACTCTACATTAAATTGATTTGTGCAATTGGCAATGTGCACAAGTCTATATGAAGTCCATCTAGCCTCTCTCTTCAGAAAAATGTGGAGAGCAGGTAGATCCAGAAGGATCTCCATGGCCGCTGACGATGGGGTACTGATGGCACCAGACAAGCCTGTCTCTGTAAGCCAGAGAGATTCGCCTGGGCTTGCCTTCGCCTGTTACTTTTCCTTTGATACCAAAATAGGTAAATATCAATGGTTTGACTCAATTTCAATAACAATTCAAGGAAAATCGCTTCGGATACACTCATTTATTGCAGAATCCACACCTAAGTGCAATTTTTTTAAAAATTTATAACTCAAAAACTTGAAGGAAAAAAATAGATTATCCCAATAGCATGTTTTGATTTAGTAAAACACATTTGAAGGAAACTAAACCTATACTCAAACTGCAAAACAGTTTTTTTAAGTTTTCCGAAAGTTGAAAAAAGCGTACTTGGTTTCTAGTGGTTTCTGAAATAAACGATTCAATTGTTCTGTTCTGTGCATTGATTTTGCGTCGGAACGGTTCTCCAACATTTCTTAATGTCTTTCGGGTGTTTATCCATCCACAATCTGTGAAATAAATGAAGCCAAATCAATAGAGAATTAGCACAATTTCAATAAAGGGCAAACTGAAAAGTACACCCGAAGAGTTCGTAATATAAACCACTGGAAAGTCAATGAGAATCAATGAGAAATGGAAAAAAAAACAAATTTCCATTCTCAGCTTCCTTTAGATGGTTAACGTTTCGAAAAATAATCCGTTTCCTTTTTCAAAACCCCAAAACTGAATTTGTGAAAAACACCCTCGACAATGCTTTGATTGCAGAAAGCTTGATTTCTTTTGACTCCTCCACAAAAAAAAACTTTCAAAGGTTCTCTTACATTTTGAAATACAAAACCAAAACAAACTCAATGCTTATATTCAGACGAAATAATCCGGGGTGTTGCATTCTGCTCGTCTCATTCCTTACCGCCGTTCATCCGTTAAGAATCAAAACTTTTACATACATACCCTCACGCCTCAAGAACTCCTCCAGGTGTTGACAGAAATTTAGACTAGTTTCAATGACATGGTATCACCAGGTAATTTGAGGTCCTTTCTGGTGATTTTGTAACAAAATTACAAAATTTATTCCGTGTAATTATCGAGTAATCGAACTCACGAAACGAGCTGTTATTCCGGGCGGAGACAAATTCAACGACTCAAAAATCATCAAAATCTGTCCAGCAATTCTTTTGCGACTTTGTATCATATCTAAGATTTTGATTTTGTTCTCAGGTTCAAGAATCCATCGAAGAACCGCCGGTCCTTCCGAAGCCCGCCACTAAGATCGGAGGAAGCATACTGAAGGAGATCCAGATACGCTGCAGCCTTTCTTGGAACAGAGACGCCCGTGAATTAGGTTCCCTACTCAACTGTCCGCATTTGACAGCTCTCCTAGACTGTCACGACGATATAGCGAAATCTTACGAAAACCCGAAACAGGACCAGCCCAGTTCACCGCCGAAATTATTTCCCAACGGCATGACGGGAGATGCCATCAGGATGGTGGGGGTGAGGAAAAAGCCCGGGGAGCCCCTAGGATTAACGGTAAGAAATGAAAGTCTTTGCGGTTTGAACTAGTCGGTATTCCAAACGAGTCTGAAGAACTGAAAAAAGGCAATTGCCAAGTGCTTCCAGATGTCAACTCAATGTTGACAATTAACATTCATTTTCAATTGACTTTCTTTTTCCGACGTTATGATAACGTCATTAGAAATGCAATGCCATTGAACACCTCGACACGTGTTTCGATCATCAAGTCATCATCTTCAAAGAGGAAGATTAAAACTGATCAAAGAGGAGGAAAAAGATCAAAGAGGAAGATTAATCTTCCTCTTTAAAGATGATCACTTGGTGATCGAAACACGTGCCGAGGTGTTGAAAATAACGATTTGGTCTTGGGAAAAAACTCCAGTAATATTCATTACTACACCAAAGGTTCCAAACAGTGCATCATAAGTATGTAAGGTTATAATTACTACAAAAGGAACTGGAACTTCTACTTCAAAATCTAGGAGAAAGTTTGGCTCTGGGAATATGGAGGCTAATTTGGGTCATATCTATACCGCAGCCTATTAATTGGACTAGATTACATTATACATACACGGCCGGTATATCGAAACGACTTGAATCCGGTTCAAGAAAAAAGCAGTACTGTTACCTGGTTTCTTGAATTTTGAGAGCGCATTCAGCAACACAACCTTCCAGGAATCATCTAGGCATGAATGAGAAGGATAGATGATGCAAACGGCGGTTGTTTGAAGAAAAACTGGGGGAAACAATAGTGGTTTAGAACATTGTAATGGTTGAGCTGTATACTCGTCTTCTGGACCAAAATGGACATGGCGTACTAAGGTATCCCCCGTTCAGGATAGATATTGTGAGGGGACGGAAGCAGCATGCAGTGGATGTTAAGATAGAATGAGGAAAAATGGTCGGTCTTAAAGTTATCCATATTTGCCATGATAATATTGACCAAAAGGACAGCAACACAACCTTCCAGGAACTATCTAGGCATAAATGAGAGGGATAGATGATGCAAACGGCGGGTGTTTGAAGAAAGACTGGGGGAAACAATAGTGTTTTAGAACCTTGTAATGGTTGAGGTATGTACTTGTATGGTATTTTTCTGATCCCGAAAACATACCATACGTGACTTACTAAGCTATCCTCGATCAGGGCAGATATTGTGAGGGAACGGACGCAGCAGGAAGTGGATGTTATAAGGTATAATGGCTGGACATGAACCAATCCATATTTGTCATGATAACATCGACAGGGCAGCAACACAAAGTTCCAGGAACCATCTAGGCATAAATGGAAGGATATATCATACAAAAGGCGGGTGTTTGAAGAAAGACTGAGGGAAACAAAAGTGGTTTAGAATTTTGTAATGGTTGTGCTAGATACTCGTATAGTACGTCTCCTGGACGAAAATGGAAATGACGTACAAAGCTATTCTCGTTCGGGGCAGATATTGTGAGGGGACGGAAGCTGCAGGCAGTGGATGTTATAAGATAGAACGAGAAAGAATGGCTGGACTTGAACCCATTCATATCTGCCATGATAACATTCACCAAAAGCTCAGCAACACAACCTTCCAGGAACCATCCAGACATAAATGAGAAGGATAGATGATGTAAATGGCGGGTGTTTGAAGAAAGACTAGGGGTTAAGAACCTTGTTGAAGTTGAGCTATATACTAGTATAGTATGTCTTCTGGATCAAAATGGACATGCCGTACTGAGATATTCTCGTTTAGGCAGACATTGTGCTGGGATGGAAGCAGCATGCAGTGGATGTTATAAGATAGAACGAGAAAGAATGGTTGGATATCAACCCATCCATATCTGCTAAGATAACATTGACCAAAAGGACAGCAACACAACCTTCCAGGAAGCATCCAGGCATAAATGAAAAGGATAGATGATGTTAATGGCGGGTGTTTGAAGAAAGATTGGGGGAAACAATAGTGGTTTAGAATCTTGTAATGGTTTATATTGTGAGAAGATAGAACGAGAGGATGGATAGAACGAGAAACGATGGCTGATAACATTGACAAAATAGATTAAGTTACAAGGTTAGGACTTCTGAAACTTCATAGTAGAGAGATGTAACTGTCACTGTCGGGAAAGGTTAGATATTTGGGAATTACACCAAATTCTGGAATGATTCGAAATCAAAATTTAGGAAGAATAACAAAATCAGAGAGGTATCCCTGGCTAGATGATTCTGAATGGAGGATAAAACCAGACTTATATAGTCTGTTTATACGTTAATAGTCCCCCCTCTCTGAACTTTTGAACGGAACAAGATATCCAGGTCCGACTAAATTTCCGTAGTACTTTTTGATAAGGACAATTAGACAGGTTAATATGGTCTCTCAAAATTACCCTCTGTATTACCTGTACCACACTTTGATTACTTATAACATACTTGGACATAAATAAAAATGCTTAAACAGTGTCAATAGATACAGGTTCAGATGAAATAGAAATTACCAATTGTAGTTAAGCTGCATAGTATAAAAAACATATCTTGTAGTCTATTTTATGATTACGTGACATTCTTCATTTACTATGGGTTGGTTGAAGAGTGATTGAGAGAATTGAGTATATACATATAGCCATATATGTTTTTCCCTAACGAATATTAAGGACGATGGAACAAGTATGTATTTTTCTGGTTGGCTATATGACTTTGAATAGTGGCAGTTACATTTAGAATGATTTGTAGTTATCGATATACTCATAGTTTCGTAAAGATGATAACAACACTGCTGTCCGAAATGAAACAATTTTTTGAAATACCTCGTATTGTATCTGAGTGGTGCACTTAACCTTCAAGAATACAAAATTAAAAGCGGTTCAATAATATTGGTACAGGAAAAGCCTACACTTAATTCTATCCGCATCTCCAGTAGGTCAAAGTAATCGTTTAGAAACTGTTAATCTCTCGCAAACACAAGTTCGTTGATTCACTCTGAATGGAAAACAAATGCCGATTTACTTACTGCTTCGTCGCACCCATTCATGGTTATTCGTTTTTTCTTCTGAAAATCGTTCACAGTTGACTTGATTCTCGGCACGTATAAATGCGTGAATAGGTCATTTCTCTCACAAGGACTATTCTGACTTATCCAAGAAATTGAACCTTCACTCGAATTGAACTCATTATTTATATAAAGGTTCGTTCACATGAATGCGTTCCTAGTAAATGACATCGACATTTTCTTGCGTTTTGAAAAAAAAAACTTAATGTATCGATATCAGTAAATCTGAAGTATTTGTATGAAAAACAGTTTTGATAATAGGCAGTTCTGGTGTTGAAGAAATATCTTTTCTAAACTGCAGATTCAAAAAACAGGAAATACTTCGAAAACAATAAAATTGTAACTCATTTCAAAGCTAATGAAATATTGTGTATTACTTCAGATATAAATTGTTCACAATAAAGTGTTTCTCAATGCGATTGGGTGGTGATTTATTACTGAAACTGGAAATTGAGAAGGGAATAAATGACTAAAAAAAATAAGAATTTAAAAAAATCATTAAGTATCAGACTTTCTCGAGTTTTTGAGTAATGCAAGTATAATTTTTTAGGGTAGAACTATGATTGAATAGGTCAAACAATTTTTTCTATGCCTGTTAAAAAAATCAATCATTCTACCATGTTTTGTTGAGTAATCAGACAAAATAATGCATGATTCACACTTTTGAACCAATCACAATCGACTGGATTCATAAATCATTACCTCTAGGCCAATCACAAACGAGTCAATTCATGATTTTGAAGTTTTCAGTTGCAAGTGGGCCTTGAGAATTTTCCTCTACAAAATATGTTATCAAACGTCAACGCCAAGCATGGAACTGACAGATCGTTTTGAACGAAAACAAGAATCATAACATGGACTAGGAAAGTAAAAATAAAAAATTTTAATGTGGCGAAAAAATTCATATTTTTAAAATGAATTAGAATCTCAAATAGCATTCTGTCACACTATCTTGTAACTAACTTTGAGAAGTAGTAGTAAAATGATAGTACCTAAGTGAAAAAATAACAACACCAATTTAATGGTATCACTTTGAATCAGAAGATCCTTCACAAATGTGCCACAGCACTTAGGTCACATGTGACTTATTGTACATCTTCCCTAGGAGTTGTCCTCCTAGGTCATCGTCCATTCTGTTCGTTCCAAGAAGGTGGATAGGTCACTAGGATACATCTCCTTTATATTGGCAGGTGTAGGTCTAGACTCGCCGAAAACACACTGTCTTTTTGACGATAATTCTGGACACTCGTATAAGACATTCCTGACAAGTTTCATCTTCCTGTTCACACATTCTGCATAGATGTGTGTCTACTAGCTCCATAATATGAAGGCGTTTCCTTAGTCGACAGTGGCCAGTCAGAAATCTTACTATTGAGCGTAGGTTTTTCCTGGTCATCGCCAGATATTTCTTCGGCGCCAGCTTCTCAGGGTCGCCCAAGGTGATCCTGACAAGACTGCATCCTTTGATTTCATCCCATCTCTTTACGGATTGAGCATTGGTGTGACGTTTGGCTAGTTCCACAATTTTCGAAGTCATCAGGTCACTGGGTCCTAAAATTCTTAGTACAGCCGCTTTCTTGGCTGAAGAGTCAGCAATGTGATAACCTTTACTCCTGTCGTGCCCTTTAATCCACCTAAGGATAATGTCATTATCTATCGAGGCTTTGGCTAAATCTTGGTGGCACTCTAGTTCTAGCCCTGAGGTAATACGTTGTCTGTTCAAGGCTAATAGGGCTCTACTATCAGTGCAGATTGTTATGTTTTTGCCAGAAATTCTTTTCCTGGTTATTTATTTTGTGGTGATTGAGATACCAACCAGTTCTGTTTGAACAACACTGGTTTTTTTCATATTCCCCACTTAATCCTTAGGCTTACTGATCCGGAGTAAACTCCACATCCTGAGCCTTCTTTGGTTTTTCAGCCGTCTGTATATATGCGTTTTGGATTTGTAGCATCTGACTCTGTGTTCTGTTTCATTTGTATTTTGTATTACACAAACCTGGGTTCAATTGTATCACTGGCTGCCTGCTGCAGAGGTTGCGTAGTAAGCGGTTCCCGCCATAGGCTCAGGGTATCCAGAACTATGTTCCAAAGGAGGGGTGATAAGACCCCTCCCTGTGGACATCCCCCCATGACCAGTTCACTTACTGTGATGTCTTCTACATTGATACTTATTGGTCTACTAGAGCAATAAGTATCAATGAAGTTCTTGTAGTGATCTGCCTGGACATTGGATGGTTTATGAAATATTTTTTATGGAGCACTATGAATAGAAACCGTAAGACGAATTCTTCAGATTCTGTTTATTGAATCATTACAGAAAAATATTGCAATTGAGGGATCTACCTGTATCAAGTATCTCTTTTGAGATAATTATGAATAGCAATGCAATCACAAAATATGCTTTCTTGTTGGGAGTTTTATGTACCAGGCCTCCTTGTTCAACCTTCACTATCAGTTATATTCCACATCTTTCAGCCAATAATTGAGCTCAAATTAGGTGTTTTGATGTAGCACGCTTTTAAAAAAGCCGTATGGAGAGATATTCATCGTTGCCAGATTCGACAAATATTTATAAACATTCTTGGAAGTCAATATCCAATTGATGAAAAACTACTTTCTCAAGGGAAACAATGTCGTCGTATTTACGAATTGTCTATATTTTTTTCAGGTCCAAGTTGATGAAAACAGTAACTTGATAATAGCCAGAATTCTCGAAGGGGGAATGATAGAGAAACAAGGTCTGCTACACATAGGCGATATCATTATGGAAGTTAATGGGATTCCAGTGGCGAGCGCAGAAGATCTCCAAACGGAGATCGCCAAAACCAAGGACCACGTCACCCTCAAAGTCCACAATAAACAAAACAACGAACCAGCGACACATTCCAATATCGTGATGACGAACGGTACTAACGGCATCACGAAGAAGTTGACGGTAAGAATAATATGTAAAGGTCATGATAGAGCTTGTACAAATTATATGCAATAGGTATTAGAGGGACATTTCTCGCATAGGTAGTACATATGTGAAGTTCAGGAAATTATATGTGACACGGAATGATACGAACTCTGTTACATTCAACGTAGACATTGGAGTGCCACAGGGCTCAGTTTTGGGACCACTTGATTTATATCAATGATTTACCTCTAGGGGCTGTGACAAACCCGAAGGTGAGATCTGGCAATGCCATGAAGAACTGAATGAACTTGCAAACAGGAACAAATTAACTTTGTACTGGGTGCCAGGGCATTCAGGAATGACAGGTAATGATAAAGCTGATGAATGCGCTAGACACGGATCATCAACTTCATATATAGGTCCTGAACCAGCTCTGGGGGTACCAAAATCATTGGTATGAAACTAGATTAGGTCATGGATCAATAAGAAGCACACAGAGTACTGGACAAAAGTACCTGGCAACAAACTTAGTAGAACCTTCATTAGGGAACCGTCCGAGAAAAGAACCGAAGAACTACTTCAGTATAGTAGGGATCGGCTCAGAATAATTACAGGGTTACTAACCGGTCATTGTCCGCTTAGCGGACACCTGAATAAAATTGGGCTGTACAACGGAGACATCAGCTGCAAATTATGTAACGAAGGGATAGAAACAGCTCTACACATCTTATGCGAATGTGAGGCACTGAATCACAGGAGGCAGGCAATATATGGACGTACTAGTACAGGGAACGAGACTGATGGAATGGGTGTCATGAGAAGACGGGAGAATAAACGCAATAATCCCAAGAGGCTGCAGAGTTTTCTGGAGACTTGGACTAAATGGACAAGTCAGACAGCTCCCAAGGGACGAAAAAAAAAAAGATTTACCTCAACATCTAGGTACAGGACTGTAGTCCTGCGGAACTACAGTCGAAACTGAACACAATGAGTCGTAAATTTACGAAATGGTGTCATACAAATAAACTTATGGTCAATGCCGACAAAACGGTGTTAGTTGAATTCTTCAACCGAAGACACTTAGAGCCCATACAGGTTGATATAAATAATGTCATTATCTATCCGTCGGAAACCACACAATTTTTAAGACTTGATATAGATTTTGGGTTGAATTGGCAAGTTCACATAAACTATGTTTGCAAGAGAATCAACACCAGTTTTTACACATTGGTACAACTTGAAAAAGGTCGTGCTGCAAGCACGACCTCACTGGAAACCGATCCTCATATCCAGAAAGACTACAGTACAGAATTTTTGATATACGGAATGGCCTCAACCAAGAAGTCGTCAGTGCTACATATATCGATGCTTTCAAGAATATAATCGATGATATCTTGTTTTCAATCTGCTCTGTTTTATTTTGAATCTATTGTTCACAATAGCTTATATTCATTGGCGTAACTAGGATGAAAGTTGATTACTAAACACTCACGATCAAATTTATTTGAAATATCTCTTGAAGGATTCGTTATTAGAAATTGTATCGATGTATACCACATACTGATGGCTTAGTAATCTGTTTGTATCATTCTAATGAATGAAATCCAGGTTCACTTGTCATCTTCATTCATTTGCCGTAAAATCATTCAAAATTGTGAATATCTGACCGTTGCATGTCGGAAAACATCAGAAATTAAATTATGATTTGTTATTAATTCACTGGTTTGGTAAGAACTTGTACTGAATCAACATGCAAATGCTGCTGATAAAACTTAATTGCTTCTTCCTTATAACCCTAATCTTGCCTTCCAGTGTTACATGAGGGCCCTGTACGAATACATCCCACAGGAAGACACCCTTTTGCCTTGCAAGGAGATTGGCCTGCCTTTCGATAGGGGAGACATCCTTCAAATAGTCGACCAGAGGGATCCCAACTGGTGGCAGGCAAAAAAAATTGGGGGAGATGGTACGACTGGTTTAATTCCCTCCCTAGAATTGGAGGAAAGGAGGAAAGCCTTTGTGGCTCCAGAAGCTGATTTTGTACATAAAATAAGGTGAATATTCAGAGTTTCAAATAAACCTGAAATGAAACTACTAAACAATCCAGATACGCGAAAACAATAAGGTGGAATACGATAAAGGAACAAGAATAAAAACGTTGAATGTTGCTTCCCCAAAATACGCCTGTTCAACAGATTTATTCTTCACTTATACTACAAACTAAACTCTTATACAAAGGCGAAGACAAAACTATACGGAATCACCTATTCAGCGAGGTTCATTGCTTTCGTAAACAATAATGTCAGAATCCCGCAAAAACAACACGATTAATAAAATTTCTGATCGGTACTTATCTAGCTGCCAGTGATGTGTAGATTCCTATGGCCTGCTAATACGCAAATTCGTGAAAAGCTCTTGATTCCACGTCCACACGGTCGAAATAGGAACACCACCATCCATATGACTAAATAATTCATTCTCATATATTCCTCAATTCATTCGATAAAATTCATCCCAATCGATAATATGGATATTGCAAGATCGCTCCACAGCAGAATTACCCAATCACAATATCACAACAAGGCACGGCAGGTTTATATCCGACAAAAGACGTAATTTTATATTCGAAAACCAGAATTTGCCTGAAATCAAATCTTCCGAACGTTATCATTCAGTTTCACTCACGAATGTCCTAAAGCGAACGGACGAAAGAAAAAAACGTTCCTTAAAAACTTATCGAGTCGGCTGGAACTATATATCGGGTGTTTCACAAATACAGTTGCCATAATTTAATAATTAGCGGTCAACTATTTACCACTAATCGTAACAAAATATACAAGTAAATTGTTGGGAAAGAAAGTTTTTGGGTTTCTACTACCCCATCTTGATACAAAACAAGGGATGAGGGAATCTTCCAAAGTAAGGAAGGAAGTAATCAATTTGAAAATAAGTAACTCTATATATGGATGTGTAGATTATGCAAAGAAGTATACATATACAGTATATACCAGTGAGGATGACAGTGTTCCATATAAGTGCAATTTCTTACTATTCATCCAAAGTAGAACTCATGTGAATGATATCTTATTTTTATTCCACAACGAATGTTTGAAATACATACTTAGTCGAGAAAAGTATCTTCTGTATAATTCAGTGTTCATATAGTTATTTGTTTCGAAAGAAAGTTACTTCTTTGCATGATCTACACATCCATGTATAGAGTTTCAAATTGATTACTTTCTCCATTTCCTTGGANTTTTTTCCCAAAAATTAATCACTCCTAAAAATATAACCCTTTCAATTCAAGTAAATTGTATTCTGAAGAAAATTCTTGAAAAAGCTGAACAATTGGATTTCAGTTTTATAACCCGATTTGTTGCGATTGATTCATAGAATTACTTTTGATCGAAGAAAGTTGTAAAATTGATAGTCTCCGTGAGAAGAGATGTCATCGCCAATATTTTTTCAGGCTTGTTTCGAAAGCCACCGGAGTGTCCAGCAATGCTTTCGTAGTTCAGCCTGGCACCACTGAAAATCCCTATGGTGGGTGGAAACAATGCTATCTGGTGTTGAATCGAGAATTATTTGATTTTGGGCTACGGTTTAACTAATAACACGTTTACTTTTCATGTTATTCGATTAAAATTTCTATAGATAACTTTCTGCGCTTGTATGAGCGAACAAGCCACTAATTGCTTCTTCTAGGCTGTACTTTTTCTTCGATTACGCAGATTGTTCATGAAGTAACACCGGCCTCGTTACTTGGTTGATTTTTATACTCGACATTTTATTATGAACTTTAGTGTAAAGGTTTTATTAGCGACGTATGTCCCATTGATTCATAAAAAGTGCACTTGTTGAAGATTCCTTATATAATTTTGTATTTAGTCATGTGTTACAAATCAAATAACTTCAAATTTATTCCTGGTCGTAGAGCGATAATCACAAAATATTCAATTTCTCAGGCGAACTCCTGTTTTCTTTTGTTAGAAATGCATTGATGGAAAAAAAATAAATTTTTAACTGTTCAACTAAACTCGGAAGAATCGCAGGTAGCGAAGGCAAGTGTTTGAGAGCGGAAGTGCTTTGTGACAATACCTTAATTCCCTTTTAAAAAATTGGATGGATAAAAAAAATCCAGGTAGGATACGTTACAGCTGAAGGCAATTCCACCCATTATGGATGATTTGGCTTTTACAAAAACAGAGGTTAGGAACAAACCCACCTGTCGCTATATATTTTCCTACAAGTTCACCTGGACTTTTCTATAGATAGAGGGTGTTATCAGTTGGTCTTTTAAAGAAACAAGTATGGAACTAACCAATAAAGTATGACAGGACATAATTTTATGACAGTCAACTGATATTTCGTTATTACCTCTTTCTGTAAAATTATTTGCTGCTAATGCAAATTCAAGAAATTACAGCTAATCCAACAACTAAAGACTAATTTGAATTAAGAATATATTTGGCTCTACATACGCGAATTGAAAAAATCGTGAATATACATAATAAAAACCTATTAAGGCAACAACTTCCAGATTGTTAGTGTTGGGACACAATACAATTAGGGGCTTGATAAGTGTTATATTTTTAGATTCACATGAAGACGTAAAATTTTCAAAAAATTTCTAGAATAATATGACCTACAAAGAGCTAGCATCAATCCAAGGGATACTATAAAAAATTAGACACTATATTATTTCTTTGAAGTATATAAAATTGATTTACTTTTCATTGGTTGTGAAATGTACTCGTACATGATCATCGAATGAGGCAGCTCAATAATTTGTTAACAGACACTCTCAAATCTAGATTGTCCAGAAAGTCTGTATTTTACAAAAGAACTAACGACTGTAGTGACTTTCCAATTGAAATCGAACATGTTTACAATACATAAGAAATTAAATTGCCATTGGAGAATAATTTGTTACATTAATTACATTATATTCGTTCAGTTATTATTCAAGACCTTTTCTAAAATACATCGATTTGTTGCTTTATATGTTTTGCACATTCCCACTAGTTTCAAAATCGTAAAAAAAATCATCATTGAGATAGAATACATGGAAGTAAAAAAATTAACAAATTTTTGAATAGGTTTGGCATTAAGAAATTCAGGAAACAAATAACACAACACAACAAAAAAATATTTTTTGAATGTTTCCTACACTGAATTAGTCAATTTCTACTAATTTTGGGGTGATAAAAACGAAAATAACAATGAAAAATTTTTATTAGCTCTGGTTTTTGAGATACACAGTACTTAATCTTAAAGAGTAGTTATACTATACGTGAAAAGTGAAAGTACATAAAACAATATTGTTATGTTTCTTTTAGANTCATTTGTTGAAAACTCAATATACATATATATAATATAATGATACTATATCTTGAAAACAAGAGCTAATATATAATTTTTATGGTCACTTTCGGTTTTAACACGTGGAAATACATTAAAATCATCTAATTTCAACCCCGAAACAAAAACTTTGTTGTGTTGTGTAATTTACAGAAATATCCAGCCTCGCCTCATGAGTAAAGAAACTATTGATAGTAAAAATGATTCCAAATACTTTTTTAAAGAAAAAGTTCATTGAGGGCGGTAATAATACTTTGAAATGTGTTTTTTGCCAAACAATTAAATAGAAAACTTTTGATTGGATATTATTGTGGCCACCCAAATTTGTACTTCCTCAGTTTCGCAGTTGTATCCATTATTCAAAATAAAATGACTTTTTTTTATTCAGTATTTGTGGTGCTCGAATCTCTAGACGAAAGAAAAAAATCATCTACCAATCTAAAAGCAGCGCAGATTTTGACAAAGCGGAATTACTATTGTACGAAGAAGTGACTAGAATGCCACCGTTTAAGCGAAAGACTTTGGTCTTGATTGGAACTCAAGGAGTTGGTAGAAGAACGTTGAAAAACAGGCTGATCAACAGCGATCCTGATAAATTTGGTGGAGTAGTTCCATGTAAGTATAGAACAACCAGAAGCACATATTCTTATGGAAATCTGAACAATAATATGATTGGAAGGAAATTTTGATTTAGTCTTGAAGGAAAACTTACATTGAGGTACTCAGTGGCTCCTCAGACCAAAAGAAAATAATATAGAAAAACAATGATTTTCAAATATTTTGTCAGATGAAAATTCCTTTGTCTGGCATACTACAAGGCAAAAGGATAATGAAGTTTCCATTAGAACAGTTTTCATTTTTGTCAAGAAACAATTGTGTTAGGAAATATCTTGAAACGCCATTTTGATTTGAAAAATATCAAACCATCTGATATTGTAGATTCTAAGCATTTCGTGATAATGAACAAACATTAATTCTTCATTTTTTGGTTTCGAAAGTTGAAATCAAATATCTGATTTTACATTACAAAGTGAGCTGATGAAAACTTTTGTTTTTCATCTCAAATGGGTACCACTATCATGAAAAATTCCATTGGTTTATCGCAATTCAACCTGTAAGAAGTTAATTTGTAGGTTCAAAGCAAAAAATTTATTAGATTTCAACATATACAAACAAAAAATTTGTTGCTTCATCCATTCAACAACAAATAAATAAACAATTTCAAATATAAATGTCATAGAAATCAATAATACTCACAGTCATAACATTAGACATACNGTTCGAAAATGTTCGGCGTGAAATATCGGATAGGCTGTTCATATGTCAAGAAGTTCAAGGCAACCATTTCGAGCATCTTCTGAACTGACCTCAAGCTTATTACTTCATATTATGTATCACGCATTAATTTCATTTTCCCAAATTTCAATTTTTTAAAGTTGACCCGTTCAAAAAATAAATGGGGAGGGACATTAAAGAAAAGCAGATTCAAAAATTGATTGAAAAAGTAAATGAATTGAGGTGAAAACACAGGATTATATAAGTTTTCATATAGCGAGAATCACCTAAATGTTTTTATATTAAATTTGGATGATTTCAGATTTGACTGTTCTTATTAATTATTCCAATTGTGTGTTCTTATTCAATATTTTATACTTTTTGAAAAATTTTATTACAGTTTCAATATCTATTTCCAAACTTAATGTTTACTGGTAATATCAATTATTAGTGTTTTCCTGTTTAGTATTTTATTACTTTGTTAAATTTGTATCTTTGATCAATTTAGTCAATTGTTATTCATAAATGAACCAGCAGATAAATCTGGCCAACAATTCGAAATTCTGCAATACTAACGAGATATATTGAAATTGTTATGCTCCAGGAACCTGTAGCAATAGCAGTAGCATTCTTGTGTGGATACTTTGTCATGAAACTATGAAATGTCATTTCGTACTTTGTTTTGGCAGATACTACCAGACCTCAGCGAGTGCTTGAAGAAAACGGCCAGAGCTATTGGTTCACAGATAGAGAGTCCATGGAGGAAGATATAAAGAACAACAAATTCTTGGAGTATGGTGAATACAACGGCCATCTTTATGGAACACACTTAGATACAATCCGAGATATTATTAAACAGGTAACACCTTTGTTCATTCAATATAAACACAGTTGAAACTAGAGCCTGAAACCAAAGCGTTCTCGATTCAACACTAGTGGTGCCGGGCTTAACCACGAATACATTGCTGGACAAGCTCAAGTATCAGGTTGTTTCAAAAGTTTTTACGAGTCTACTCCAAACGTTACACAAGTCGATTAATTCGATCAGCATGAACATTGGGTGCCCAGGATTCGATGAAGTCGACAAAGGCCATATTTTCCTGGTCAATTCGTTAAATTTTCGGACGGCGATTTGTGGGACGTGCGGACGAGCGTTGTCGTGCTACAGGATTGGACCTCTTCTGTCATTCTTTCATGTTTTCACCTTTGGGAAGTGCCTGGGGGCTCATCGGTGTCCAACCACTGTCCTGAATGTCTTCTGTTGTCGTAGAGGACCCACTTTTCATTAAACGTGATGATCCGATCCAAAAAAGAATCGTTATGGTTTCGCAAAGCAAACGATAACAGACCTTGAAACGTGATGATTTCTGTCGATCGTTCAAATCGTGGAGCACCCATTTTTGACCTTGACAAGACGTTTCAAATCATCAAAAACTGCATGGGAGCTAAGCCCAGTTCTTCCATCATCCCAGGCACCGTTTGTGATGAGTCAGTCTCCTCAAGGTCCTCAAATTTCAGCCTCTTGGAGGCTAAAAGCTCCAGAACGTAATTTCGCAAACCAAGATCGAACAATGCGTTGATTAACACGCTTGATAACTTTTTCGGACTGTTTCGGCAGCGTTTCGGTTTAATTTGAATTCGTAAATAAAAGTAGGCCAAGAATCGCTCAACGACATTGAATAGTAATGAGCTGAATAGTGTAAAAAATCCAAAATTGTGAAAAAATAAACAGCATCATTGTATATCGGTAAGAACACACTACGATACAGTAGAATAAATATTTATTGAGATATGGAACTTCAAAAACACATGACATTGAAACGGATAAAACTTTTGAAACAACCTAGTAAGTGAAGGCGAAGTCTTTTCCCTGCTCTACGAAGACGCCATCTATTGGATTGTCAGAAAACTCAACCCACGGATGTCAAGGTTGAATGAGGTTCCCCGAAACAACGCTAATAGATGCAGTGGACAACACAAGACAAATCTCGTACAGCGGTCGATGTGGAAGCTTTACTTTGCAACGAATCAATTTGAAGAACCTTGTTTATCTTCGATATTCGTGAATCAAGTCTTTTTTCGATCCTATAGATGGCGTCTGCGTAAAGGAAGATGTCATCGCTTTTATTCTCACACGTATATTTATATTGAATTATTCAATGATAAGGATATTGCAGGCGGTTTTGCTACTTTCTTTGAATCAAATTTCACGAATAGCGGTGTGACGGTTTCACAAACAACACACTTGATTTCTTTCACTGTTATCTATCCAACAGAATACAGTTTGTACAGTTCAACAACGTTTCTTCCTTCAAATTCACCACTACTTCGAAAACATCTCATTTTCTTTCAATTTCTGGAGGTACCGTGCAGAAATAATTGGAAAAAATGTATCACAAGCACTTGTAGCACCTAGTTGGTAAAGAGAAACAATACCAAAGATACAAATTATGTTATCCCGGGCGTTCGTACATCCGTTCATCTTTAATATAATCATGACGTTTCGGTTTCAAATTCAGCTACTTAGTAGAGAACGTTATGGCAGGTGAGATCTTGCTGAAACGTTGCTAACTAAGCCCATAATACCATCCTTATAATGTACTTCTCGTCCATGTTGAATTGAAAGACTACTTTCATCGATCCAAATGATAGAAACGTCGTAAACATTTAAATGAAATGACGTTTCTCTAAATCCACTAGGGCGGATAAGTTCTTGATGCTTTTTTATTTTAAAGGCATCAAATGAATACGAAAAATGTCGTGAGGTCACTTGATCGCTGGCTCCCAAATATTGTGATTTTTTTTTCATGAACCCCCACGATAAATGTCTCCGAACCGGATACAATAATGTCAGGATAGACAGTTCCGCTTTCTGCTTCGATCAAGTTTGTTGAGGGTTGAAATGGGCACCAAAATGTCTTGACACAATCATGTCACTGGAGTTGCAAAGGCTGCTTCTCAAAAGCTTGGAGCACTGTTGCGAACCAGAAAACTGTACACACCTCAGCAACTCTTGATGCTTCACAAAGCTCAGATCAGACCGTCTTTGGAGTATTGTTCTCATGTATGGAGCTCCGCCCCTAAGCATACCCTGAGGCTGCTGGATTCTATTCAGAAAAGAGCCATCCGCCTGATTGGAGACACGAACATCACTTGCAACCTTGATAATTTGGAACATCGAAAAAAGGTTGGAGATTTGTCTCTCTTTTATAGATACTTTTACGGGAGGTGTTGAAGTGACATGGCACATTTGATTCCACCAAGAGCGGTACATATTAGGAATAGGCGACGAACTATGGCTCCTCATCGTTTTGAGGTTCAACTCAGTACACCTCAAACTTCACTGTTTAAGAACTGTTTCATTTGGATATAAGTGCATTTATGTGGAATAAACTTCCTGGGAACGTTTTTCCAAATGAATTTAATCTTCAGCGATTCAAGTCAAACATGAATCGCTACTTTTGCAAGGGCACCGCTCTTAGACCGCCTTGAGGAGTTTTCTGTAGTGATTGTGTTCTATCCTTGAAAAAATCAAAATGGCGAAGATGGCCGCCGTATTAGTTTTAGAGAGCAATAAATTTGGGTCGGCGGAAAAATGAGCAGTCGTCATGAATTTGTACATCCGATTCAAGTCCAAAAACTGGAACAAAGTATTGAAGACGAATCTATGAGGCTACTGCTTTGAACAACCTAACCCTTCAATGATAAATGGCTTTTTGAAAATCATTATTATTGAAAGCCCGTAACTAAAATCCACATTGAATGTGGAGTGGAATTTTGCGACATACGATTTTTTTCTAATATATGTGTTTTTTTTGTTTATATGAAAATTCGAAAAGAACATTTTTTAATATCTTATAAAATACATGATTCCAGATTGAGTACAGTTTTTTTTTCGATATCCAAATATCGAAATCTGTTTATAAACAGGAAGTCTCTGATCACACAGTACATAAGTACATAATTTCAAAAAATCCGGAAATTAATTTTGGAGGCAATTATATCCAATTCGACCAGGTATTTGATGTCATATTTTGTTGTTTCATAAACCTAACCAAAAACTTCTCGTGCCCGTGGAGTCAAGAAATACCTACACTAATATATGATGGGCAACTAAAGTAAAAACACAATAATGATATCACTTTATTGTTTTTCAAAATATTCCCCATGAAGATCTATACGTTTTTGCATGCGTTTGAACCAATTGTGGAAGCACTTTTGCCACTCTGATTGAGGTATCTTCAAAACATGCATTCTGAATGCAGCAACCGCTTCTTCAGGTGTCGAAAAACGTTGACTTCTCAGTTTGTTTTTTACGTGCGGGAATAAAAAGAAGTAATTCGGTGTCAAGTCAGGAATATATGGCGGATGACTCATCAAGTCGATGTTTTGGGTGCTCAAAAATGCAGTTGTTTGAGCCGATGTGTGAGAGCTCGCATTGTCGTGGTGAAGAGTGATCCGTCTTCGGCGGTTGGTTTTCCTGATTTCTTGGAAGACAACTGGCAAACAATTGGTTGTGTACCACTCAGAATTGATTGTTCTACGTTGTTCTAGTGGTACGGTTGCGACATGTCCAGTTTTTCCGAAAAAACAGGCGACCATTTGCTTGGAAGTGCTTCGTGCGTGAACAACTTTTGTTGGATTTGGCTCGTCTTGAAACACCCATACAGTCGACTGCTGTTTACTTTCGGGCTCATATGCGTAAATCCACGATTCATCACCTGTCACGATGTCATAGTCGTGTTTCGAAGCACCGCGATCTTATTTTTTGAGCATTTTCTTCGACCAATGGACACGAGCCTTTTTTTGAGCGATTGACAAATTGTGTGGGATCCAACGCTAACAAATTTTTTGACAGTCAAATGTTTATGCAATATTGAATGTATGCTGGTCACACTAATGCCTAAGGTTGTCTTAATCTCACGATAGGTCACATGACGATATTGCAATGTCAGTTCGTGCACAGCATCAATGGTTTTCGGAACAACAACTGATTTTGGACGACCTTCACGAAATTCGTCTTGGAGTGAACTACGACCACGATTGAACTCACCATACCATCGATAAACACTGGTCTTTGATGGAGCTTCATCGCCAAAAATTGAATCAAGTTCATCCATGCACTGTTGCTGAGTTAATCCACATCGAAAGTCGTAAAAAATAATCGCACGAAACTGTTCACGATTTAATTCCATTTTTGGGCCGGGATAAAGCTTTTAATCACAAATAGCGCGCGTATATCAAAATGTTCTGAGTATGTATAAGCTCAAACATGTCCAACTTTACGATAGAGCTGTCAGTTGCTAGATTGCAACACTAGGGTTGCCAAATCACGAAACATAAAAGGCAACCTATCGTATACGTCACCTCATTGGAAGATGGAGGCGATAAAAGACTTTTGACAAACGTAATGACTTATTGTAGATGTAGTTATGCATTGATATTTGCATTTTGAAAACCATTGAAAGAAGTTTGACTGTTCTATGTTCCCTTATATGTAGAAAATATATTTGTTAATTGAGTGCTAAAATCTTGGTGAATGTTTGTACGTTGTCCTCTTTATTTCTTTGTTTGAAACTAGTAAATATTTATTTTTTTGCATGTTAGTTTGACCGACAGAGTTCGATACGATACAGTTCCAGGAGAGCAAGAACTTTGGAATCTTTAGCTTCACTGTACGAGGTAAGTTTGACATTTGTCTAGAGGTGCTTCAATCTAAAACCGTTGATTACCAGGCTGGAGTTCGAATGACATGAAGTATAGAGAAGGATTTGTCAAATGTAGGAAGAACTTTCTGAATTACGCTGTTAACAATGATATCTAGCCACAAACGGACATTGTTTGATCTTTGGACTCAGTCATTGCAAAAGCCAATATAATTGGAAATTGTTCACTTTTAAAATGAATTGGAATATCTCTAGGTCTAGAGATTAATGGTACTGATATATTTTCACCTCGGAACTTGCCATTTGGCTTCGACAACATTTTTTATTAATTTCAATGAGTAATCGCGTGCCGTTGCACAGCCGTGTGGATTCAAATTACGAAGTGATACAAACTTCAGTTGTAAATTACGCGGTAGCATGCTTGGCAGATCCAGTGAGTCAGCTTCGGTGGCATCGCAAACTGTATATACGCTCGATGGATAAACAATAACAGTGGCTGAAATATGTGTAGGGAGTGAGAAAAGGCTTATTGTGTGGGAGATACAGGAAACCGGCTTCTTTCTCATTCCTACTCCATGAATTCTTTTTCAGTGGTCAGGAGAGTTATCTAGTAATATTTATCATTTTTCAGACGCGTTATGATCTTTGAATCATTGACTATTCATAAAAGTTTATGCTAACGAACTTTCGTCCAAGCTTTGTGGTAACATTTATTGTGGCTCGGAATCAGTGATGAAATTATGTAATTTCACCTATATCCTGCAATTTCAACAAACACAAACTAATTCAATCAAATTAATCCCTACAGGAGGAAGATCTGAAAAGGGCTTTGGAAGATAGTGCAAGCATGCAAAGAACTTACGACAAATACATAGATCAGGTGATAACAAATAATGACTTTGATACAACATTCAGGCAGATTGTAGAAGCATTAGACGCTCTAACGACAGAACATCAATGGGTGCCTGTCAACTGGATATATTAGGATTGTTGAATAGCATCGCTTAACTCAAGTGGAATTCAAATTGTTAATATTTTGGGGTGATTTTTTCTACTGCCAATAATCACATACGGTTTGCCTTAGCAAGTCTTTCTTCGAGGAGCAGCTTTCATTTTAAATTGAGCGGTGAGTGATGAATACACACGAGGGAAGTACGGTTTCAGATAAAAAGGATCTCAAAAAAGAAATTTATTTTTGGAAATTTTCAGAATGACCAATTGTCAACCAATATTGGAAGGAGTTATTCTAAAGGTTCAATATGTCGTCAAAGAGACAGCTCATTAGGTAACCTTGAAATTCTGAATGTATTATTCAAACACCAATTCCAGTCTTATGGTCTAACAACTGAGTCATTCACAAATATACGTGAACTTTTGACTGACCGTCCATGAAAGTTGACAATTTGTCATTTTAGAGTGAAGGGAGCTTTATATATTTTACTTTTGCGAACCTTTTTTCACTTATGGTAATACAATAATCATCACTATTAAAAAAATATATATTGAAAGAGTTATTTAGATAAGTTTATAAAAATGTGTAGCAATATGAATAAGTATTAAACTGTTAGAATAAGTAGTGATCAGAAAAGTTTTGAAGAATAGTATTTATATTGTTATAATGTCTCAAGATGTCAGCTGAAGAATGGCCTAACTGGATTTGATCGGACTCAAATACATTAGTGGTATATTTTATTACGTTTAAGTTCTTCGAATACATCTCAACAATGGTACAAACTATTACTTACATCGAAATGAAAGATCTGAGCAAGAGTGATATTATTTACAGTTCAATTAAATCTTGAGAGATGGGCCTTGTCATGATTTTGTTAAATTTTCATGCTAACTATTTTCATTTCCGCAAAGTGTAGGATTGTAGGTAAGAAACAATTGATTATGTATATTTGTGAAATTGTTTCTTTATTGTTTTATTTATGTTACAACATATGTTGCTAATGCAGCGTATGGAATCACAGTCGCAAAGTCTTTAACTTAATTTTAACTTTTTTGTTCGTTTCACAGGTGTATCTTTTTCGGAAATTGCTTAGCATGGACATATATATCATCTGATCATGGTAAATGAACATTTTCATTTGGCATTTTCCTTATGCCGAATTATCATTTGAGTGACATTTACCTCCTCCACTGACATCACAACTACTCTACTGACGTCACAAAGACAGAAAAATTGTCAAATATCGGTTCTATTCATCTCCACAAGATTTTGTAACGAACAAGTTGAGTATGAAGAATTCTATTTGGGAAGTAATGGACCCAGGAACAATTATCGTTACTTCTAATTATTCCAACGAATCAACTCATTTTGTAAATACGAAGTCCACCTAAAGGTGTGAGATATCACATGCTTTTGTGACCTTTTTACGAATACGAAAACGTTTCAACAGAACTTTCACTTGATTGATTCAGAAAAAAGTGATAATTTCACATTGAGTTAGGAGTACCACTTATTTTTTAACGAATTGAAAATAATAATTTTGTCAGAAATGTTGTTTCCAAAGAAAGAAGAGTAATAAGATCACATTGAAAATTGAGAGTGGGTATCAGTTATTCCTTTACGAATAACCAACATTTACCCATGATCTCAAAGAAAGGGTTATTAAAAAAACCTTTTTGAAATAACACGATTATATATGTGAAGTAATTATTTTACATTGAGTTAGGATTACTAGTTATTTTTTAACGATTCGAAAAATACATTTCAACTAAAAATGTTGTTTCCAACGCAAGCATAAAAAATGAGAATTGAAACTTCCTCTGTTTTTATAGCACTTTTATTTGTAACTAACGTTACTGCTGTTTCGTCCTACAAAGACAAAAAATGGCCTTACATATTAATTGTTCATATTCCGACTTCGGGGGTATACACACACGAAACAAAGAGAAGAAGAAGAATTCTTCATTTTATTATGAGATTAGGCATTGATTTTAATTCTTCACTTTTTTCATATTCACCTACATTTCTAGTTGCTTCATTATTACTAAAGTAATCACAAATAGGAAATTTTGAGGTGACTTGTGAAGACATTATCCTGTTTTCAAATGTGGTTCACACATTTTGAGACAATGCGCGCCAAAATTTCGAAATGTGATTCACACTGTCACATATATGTTCAACCTAAACAATTTCTGAAAAATATGGCGAAAAATTATATTATGATTAGACAATAATTTTGAAATACAACCGATAAAGAACACGTAAATGCAGTTTTGAGTATTATCAATGTGATTTTTACGAACATTTTCCACGTTTTGAAGTATAAGATGAAACTAATATCACATATTTCGAAGTAATATTTGACACTTGTGTGTTCTATGGACATTGAAATATACAAAAATTACTGGTCATATTTGGTTGTTTTTCTATATTGTTTATTTTTGGATTATTACCAATATAAAATTTGAATGAAAATTTGTTGATTAAAATGAAATTGGCTATTATGTACTGCATTTAAATGTTCTTTCGGGATTAATTTAACTGTATATAACATTTCGATTGAGATTTCTTATACACTTGGCACTATTCTCGTCACAACTGAGACTTTAGGAATTAAGTTAGTTATATACTTATTAGTGCGAACCGTCCATTTTGTGTTCAGGAGACATCTTTATTTTGTTACTGAATATTGTATAGAAGTGCAGGATTTTTTTTATAATTCTGATTATTTTGTATGTGTTTATTTAGTTTTAGATCTTCTTTATTTACGACACTTAAAGCTTATAAAACAGACATATAATAAAGAATTTTAAAATATTTCAGGTTCAATTCTTTAGCATTATTTGTAAAGTCTTTGTGAATATTACAATTATTACTACATCGACACTAAACAGTAACAAAATATAATACCATTTTTCACGAGAAAAGTAGACTAGATTTTTTAATCTCCCAAATCTAGAGGAATTCTAAGAATGTTTTGGGGCGACCTTGAGAACTTCAAGTCGATAATAGTATCAAAACAAGAAATGGTATCTTTTCAATACGTCTTCGCTGTTCAATTTTATTAGATTCAAGAGTATTTGCTGCGTTTGTTTTTTAATATTTACATTCATTGCAGTCACAATTTTCATCCTAAAAGTAATATTATAAACCTAAACATGACCTATCACAGTTCGACTAATGGATCTCTAAAATCAGGAGTTTGTTGAAGAGAACGGTACCTTTCAAAGGTGTTATCTGAAAAAAAAAACCAGATTCAATAAATTGGATCCATCAAAAACGAATCGCTTCTTTCAAAAAATAGTTTTTCGGTAACCGTCTAACTGTTACTAACCTCTCTTCATCATCAGTTCTTTCCAGAGACATTTTTCAATAGCCTTTTTCCATGCATCCGCCACTTCTTTCCTTTTTGATTTCAGTCTGTATTCAACTTCAGAGTTTGTCATCTTACTTTTCTTGAAGTCTACAAGCACCAGTTTTGTTGGTTTCTCTGAAGATGAAGGGCTCAAAGTCAAATCTTCGGTATTTATGCTTCCTAAGTAGTAGAATACATCTTTCTCACAACCATATAAAAGAACAAACAAGAAGATAAAACGTTCAGGTTGAGTAGAGCCATGAATATGATAGCACAGCCTGCTATCGAAAGCGCTCGCATATAATAATTAGAAGTTATTAAAGCTTCAAATCCTTTGTGTAAATTCAAGAGAGCTTTGAGAACTTGGCTCTTAACCATTTCGACCGATGATTCGGAAACATTTTTAGAAAGGAAGAAATCATAGATGATTGTATTTTTTTCATTTTCTAACGTTCCATTAATACATTGAGCATTACTCTAATTTTTCATTATTTCTAATGGCAAATAAGCTATTTTGTTCCTGTAGATTGAAATTATAATGTAGTTAGTAATCTGTATATCTGTATCCTTATGCTCAGGATCAATACTTATAGATGCCCAAAATTTTCACTTGACTGATGCATTAGAATATTGTAACTTGTTCATTTGTAACATAAGAAATCATTTGATTTGATGGACAAGAAGTTTCATCTTACTTTTATAATAGATAATTGTTAGAGTTAGAATTAGTTATACCTTTAATATCACATACAAGTATCTGATGCTTTAGTGGGCTGCTCCATTTATTTGTATATACAGGGTGGGCCATTGAAAACTTAACATAGAGGTTTTGGGTACTAATCTTGCAAATCCGAAAAAACGGTCAACAAGTCGATTTTTATTGGGAGGGAGACAGTTTTTTCCCCATTCACAGCGTCGTCACTACAACCCCGGAGCAGAAGGGTGAATAACCCTTGGAATTTTAATAGGGAATGAAAAAAATGTACACCGTTATTTAGAGAATTCCAATATATTTCAAACGATTAAAATTACAAGGGTTGTTTACCCCTCTGCTCCGGGGTTGAAGTGACGACGATGTAAATGGGGAAAAATGTCCTCCCAAAAAATCGACCTGCCTGAGCATTTTTTAGGATTTGCAAGGTGAGTACCCAAAACCTCCATGTCAAGTTGGCGATGGCCCACCCCGTATAATGCTAGGACATAAATGATATGTTCAAGTCGAAAAACGTCAGAGTTTTAAATCTACCGCTGCACCACAAAACATGTAAACACATATATGAGCAGAAATGAATTATGTAAAACTAAAGATCAAATTGAAATGATTTTGGTTAAGACCGACTTTGTGAAATTTATACGAGAAAACCCATCTAATTCAATTCATAACCACAAGAAAATGAATACAAACTATAGTTGTATAAGCTCTTGATGGCAAATTTGACAAAAAGTGTTTTTACTCCTAGAATAAACCAGAACTAGAATATACTCTGTCCATCTGAGCAAAGGAGTGCTCCAAAACAATATCACGCATAGTGCACGTGATCTCCCAGACGAGGCTGCTTGTACAGAGTCCAACTAAGGAACGACCTAAATTTTATTTTTTTAATATGCGGCTAGATATAGGAAACTTTTTTGGGTGGAGTGTTGGGACACAAATCAGCAGTTTCTTGAGTCGTATCAGTACTTGACATTTTGAAAATTTCAAACTTCAGAATACCGTATATGTATACACCACAGGCGTTAAAAACGTAACTGGCCACTTCGACTTGTAGTTGAATCCGGTTCGCCAGCGTAAGGAGGTTTGTTTAATTTTTCCAATAGATGCAAATGTCCGTGGTGATCATGCGTTGATCATGCATTTATCTTTGTTTGTTGGATGGATGTAGTTTAAGTAACAATATTCATAATTTCATTTTATAAAATTCAAGAAAACTACAGGAATATATATATTATTGATAATAAAATTTTCGAATTTTTAAAATTATGTTCAGTTCTTGAAAGAGGAGATGAAGCACTGATGGAACCTTTGGTGTAGTAATTAATATTACTGGAGCTTAATTCCAACACCAAATCTGATGATTTTAATTATCAGATATACCTGACTATCAGATAGGGCCAGTAGATGAACAAAGATAGTTCTGTGGCACAGGAAATCCAGCTAACAGAAGCAAGGTATAACGATCGAAAACACACGCGAAACGATCGCAAACACACGAAAAACGATCGAAAACACACGCAAGACGATCGAAAACACACGAAAAACGATCGAAAACGCACGCAAAATGATCGAAAACGTCCGCAAAATGATCGAAAACGCACGAAAAACGGTCGAAACAAACGCGAACTCGTGCGTTTTCGATCGTTTTGCGTGCATCTTCGATCGTTTTTCTTGTGTTTTCGATTGTTTTGCGTGTGTTTTCGATGGTTTTTCGTATGTTTTCGATCGTTTTTGGTATGTTTTCGATCGTTATACCTTGCTTCTGTTAGCTGAATTTCCTGTGCCACAGAACTACCTTTGTTCATCTACTAGGGCCACATTGTAAAATTAATTTAAGACAATAATATGCAGGTATCTAGCAGAGATGTCTATGGTATAAGTAAAGACACCATTTATATCTATATCTTTTTAAATTATCTCAATTACAAATGCTCAATGCAACCCTTGTTTTTCCACAGAATTACTTAAAGTCTGTTGATGAAAACTATGCAGTTTCATGTATTGTACTTTGGCTAATGTTGATATGTTATTAAGTTTTGAAAATAAAGTTAATTGTAACCAATAATATTGAAATATATATCTGAAATGATATCTCTATTATGTCACATAAAAAAAATAATGGTTCATAAGATAATATCTATAATAAAAGTGCAAATGGAAGCTATTCATGAAATTTCAAAACAAAATATTATTATGATGAATGACAATGTACAAATATCACCTTTTGAGATATATACAGATCCAAGTTCGGTGTCAAGCTATAAACCCAAATTCTTACTTGCCTCTACAAAAAATGAATGAACAAATTGACATTTTCATTTATTAACTCGTTCAGAATGTTTCATTATGATTGATTTTGTTGATAGATTCATAACAAACTACTGAAAAAAAAGAAATATTCTCTTACTTTCGATGGATATTAATGAAAATTTATTATTGCACTGAACTTTTCTCATAAAAATGAGTATAAACATTTGACTTTCTACTACTCCATCTTGATACAAAAAAAGGATGAGGGAATCTTCCAAAGAAAGGAAGGAAGTAATCAATTTGAAAATAAGTAACTCTATACATGGATGTGTAGATCATGCAAAGAAGTAACTTTCAGACACAAACTGAAAGAAAGTCCTCCTACTTTCATATAAAAATTGAATTACACGAAAGAAAAAATTCTTTCGAAACAAATACTTCTATATGAACACTGAATACAGGAGATACTTTTCTCTACTCAGTTTGTATTTTAAACATTCGTTGTGGAATAAAAATGAGATATCATTCACATGAGTTCTACTTTGAATGAATGGTAACAAATTGCACTTACATAAAACACTGTCATCCTCACTGGTATACACCGATGTTTCGCCTTAAGACACTTGCCCTAAGGCTCTTCAGTACCAAATTGGATAACATAGAAAATACAGACAATTCATTCATGAATTACGATTTGTAATGTCACGGAATAAGCTTGATCTGCTTATGTCATCGATGACATAAGAAAGCCAAAAACTTTCTTTTCCAAAAATTAATCACCCCTAAAAATATAACACCTTCAATTCAAGTATAAATATGTATTTGAAAATCAAACATGATTTTCATTTCATCCTATAGTGAATAAAATTTAAAATAATAACATTTGGGAACGTTATTGAAGTCTAATTATGTATTTATATTATATATTTTAATGATTGCCATGTGGATTTATGTAGTTTCGACGAGTTCCCAGATTTGAGTTGTCAAAATAGAAAACATTTTGAGGACTTTGTGTCGCGAGCGACTGTTTTTGTCAAAAATGAAATGTCCCGTCGGCAGGCGGAAAGATCAAAAAGTTTATTTGGTCTGTGTTTTTGTAAACAGAGAATGCAGCGATTTAATTACTCTTCGTGTAGTGGAAACGATAGAAAACAGTCCACAACAAAGAACGCGACGGATTTATCAAAATTTTTACTTATCTGACTGTGCTGAGTTTAAATAAACAGCTACTATTGACTTTATCAGCGAATATTTATTTACTTACCCTCGTAAACACGATAATCTTCTCGAACATGAATACCACAACGTTTTTCTTCTTTTTCTGTTGCACGGCAAACTTCAGTTCGAACTTGTCTTTCATTATCAGGCAGCCATACCCAGTGACGTCGAAGGGGCATTCCTGTATCGATACGTGGGGAGAGACACTTTCCGGAAAAAACTCCTTCTTCTCAAAGTCCGTGGGAGCCGAAATTAAACTGTCGGCGATGTCTTCGGTTTTGAAATAAGAAATGAAAGAAACCAATCTTGAATTTCGCTTTGATTTTCGTGAGGCGTTCCTTCTCGACAGCTCGGGTTCTTCCATTCCGTATCGGGTTCTTCGGGTCACTTCTCACTTGGCAGCATCTTTCAGATTAACAGAGGATGGCTAGCGGAGGGTTGGGCAGGTAGGTACTTATTTATTTTGCGGACCCACCAGCCTCTCCACGCAATCTTATCATTATGTTATCATGACAGTGTACAATAAAAATTAGATAAAGGAAAATAGATTCATCGGGGTTACTTGTAATCACAGGACTACCTGTGGTGAGAATTGTGGTACTGCGGATTTTTATATTTCTTGTATCAACCGTAGAGGCTTCTCATCGGCAGGATATTCCATAATAATATGCTAATTCAAATGTAAAGGTGTATATTTTTGGGGGAGATTTATTTTTGTGAAGGACAGGTTTTGACTTTCTACTTCATTAGTGTGAAGTTACTTCAAATCCACAGTTTATGACGAGGGACTATCAGACATAGTTCAGACTGAAATTTTGTGAACAGTGTTGCCAGATTGCAAATAATAAAAATTTTACCGGTATTTCGACGATGTCATACAGTGTCATCCCCAAAGTATGCACCATATTGGAAACTCATTTATTAAGGGTTTTTCGACAAAACAAACTTGATACAAGTTTGTGCATCCCCTAAAACTGAATATGCACCAACAAAATACAGTAAAACACACGTAATATACAAGGAGACTTCAAATATTCGATTTTGAGACAGTATTAAAGTACTCTTATTTTGAAAAATCTCGGAAAATGTCATTCAAAAAGTTGTTCAGCATCAAAAAATACAACTAGATTTGAAGTTGTGGCCATTTAAGCGAAGTTTTATTTTTTACCCATTTTTTCAAAAATGGGGACTACGAAAAAAAATTGTTAAAAAGATAAATAGACAGCATCCTGTAAACGACAGTTTATTTCAAAATCCTGTTATATTACGAATTACACAACTATGATGCTAACCACAGTCAATTTTTTTGAAGAGTAAAATAATTTTCGAAGTTTTTGGTGCAAAGTTAACACAAAAAATCACTCAAAATTATAATGATATTCAGTTACATCAAATTACAAAACCTCAAAATAAAATAGGTATTCCGGAACAAACTCATTGATTTTCTGAAGACTTGCTTGTCCACAATAATTCTCCAAAATAATCTCCAGAAAATCAAATTAATGCTAAACAACTTTTCTGAATAACATTTTCCGAGATTTTTCAAAATAAGAGTACTTTACTCTTGTCTCAAAATCAAATATTTGAAGGCTCCTCGTATATTACGCGTGTTTTACTGTATTTCGTTGGTGCGTGTTTAGGGGATGCACAAACTTTTATCAGGAATAACTTTTTGTCGATGAACCCTTAATTAATAAGTTTTCCATATGGTGCATACTTTGGGGATGACACTGTATATTTAAAACACGATATATCATTGAAACATGAATAAATAAGTCAGCATTCTACATAATGTTCCAACTATCTAAATACAAACATTAATACAAGAGAACATGTAAAATAAGAGTAGATTATCCAGGAAAAAAGCATTTGTACTTACGAAAACAGGTGTATATAGGAATTGTAAAATTGGTTTCTCGGTAAAAACTTTAGGACTTGTAACTCAAAAGTATGTCAGTTGAACTCTCTTGCGGCGAACAAAACCGAATTCCCAAGAAAGACTCATCCAAGAAAGTCAAATTAACACTTATGAACAATAGTTTGTTGATGAAAATTTCAGAGTATATTATTCGAAAGTATGTCTATTGACGTGTTTGAACAGATCTGACATAGACGTACTTTTGAGGAATAGACTCTAAAATTTTCATTAGGGAGAAATTTGACTTTTTTGGGTTATTTTTTTAAGCATTTGGTTTTGTTCACCGCAAGAGAATTGAAATGAATTAATTACTTTTGAGTTACTAAAATTTTTACTTTGAAAACAATTTTCCAATTCTCTTAATACTATCAAAAATTAATTTCTTCTGAAAAAATATACCTCATTCCATTTCAAACAAGATTCCTAAGGCTGGGATTTAATCAAATAAGCGAATGAATGTCATTACGTACTGTAATCAATGACATGAGTCGATTGAACTCGTATATATTGTGTAGGAATCCTGTGAATGATATCTGATTCGATCCCATTACGAATATTTGGAATGAAAACGGAATGGAGAAAAGTGTTTTTCGTATAATTTAGCGTTCATATAAAAGTATTTGTTTCGAAAATACGTTTATAATGAGTTATTTTTTGCGGGTATCTTTTTGGCAACACTGTTTTCGACAGATCATCCGTGATCGTGTCTTGTGTCATTGTCAAACTTGTTTAGTTTGGTCGATAATTTAACCATGAATCGACTTACGAATGAACACGCTTGCAAATTATTGAATTTTATTATCAAAATTCATGCTCGGTGAAGAAAGTGCATCGTGCACTTCTTCCAATTCATGGGCAGTTTCGTCGACCTACTGAGGGAGCTATTCGGAAGCTTGTGACAAAATTTCGAACTCAGTTTTCATTATTGGACATTAAACCACCAACACGCATACGTAGAGTGAGGACCGAAGAAAATATTGCGGCTGTATCCGCCAGTGTTCGTGATGACCATGAAATGTCGATTCGCCGCCGTTCGCAGCAAATGGGCCTCTGTTACTCCACTACGTGGCAAATTTTGCGAAAGGATTTGGGTGTAAAACCTTATAAGATACAGCTGGTACAAGAATTAAAGCCACGACTTCCCACAATGTCTAACATTTGATGAATGGGCGCTGGCAAAGTTAGAGGAAGATCCATATTTTTATCGAAAAATTGTGTTCAGCAACGAGGCTCATTTCTGGTTGAATGGATACGTTAACAAGCAAAATTGCCGCATCTGGACTGAAGAACAGCCACAAGCATTGCAAGAGCTACTGATGCATCCTGAAAAAGTCACTGTTTGGTGTGGGTTATGGGTCGGTGTCATCATCGGGCCGTACTATTTTAAAGACGGCAACGACCGAAACGTTACGGTGAATGGCGAGCGCTACCGTGTAATGATTGTTGCCCAAAATAGAAGAATTGGACATGCCAGACATGTGGTTTCAACAAGACGGTGCCACATGCCACACGGCACACGAAACAATGGCCCAATTAAGAGCTGCTTTCGGTGAACAGTTTATCTCTCGTTTGGGGCTCGTCAATTGCCCGCCTAGATCGTGTGATTTAACGCCTATGGATTATTTCTTGTGGGGTCATGTTAAGGCTCATGATCAGATCGTCCATTTTTATACTGCTCCAGTATAGGAATATCTCTTGATTATCCTGAAAAAAAAAATATTCATAAAGGGTTCTTGATGATCATGGTGATCCACGGGAGGAAAATCATTCGTGATCGATGCTAGAATTACACACCATTTTGTAGTCCATTCTCTCCACCAGGAAGACTGTTTCAAAGACAGACAGTCCAAATGATGGAAGAACAGTTCACCAAAAATCAATTCATGGAAATATTTAGGACGCCTTGATTAACCATTCTTCCAGATTGAAATGGAAGACATTGATATTGTCTGTATGAACATGTGCCATATGTTCAAAATTGAATAGTTGTAAAATTGCTATTCTGACAGGATAGCGGGACTTGTATCTGTAGAGTAGGGAGGGTGAGTGTAGGCCCACAGCACTTACACCACATGTGACCTTTTGTACATCCTCCCGAGGAGTTGTCCATCCTGTCGTTTCCAGGAAGGTGGACAGGTTACTAGGAGACAACTCCTTTATATCGGCAGGTGTAGGCCAAGACCCGCCGAACACACACTCTCTTATTGACGATAAGTCCGGACACTCGTATAGGACATGCCTGACAGTTTCATCTTCCTGTTCACAAATCCTGCACAGAGATGTGTCCACTCATTTGACAGTGACCAGTCAGAAAGCTTACTGTTAAGCATAGATTTTTCCTGGTCATCGCCAGATATTTCTTTGGCGCCAGCTTCCCAGGCTCTCCTAGGGTAATCTTGGCAAGATTGCATCTCTTTAAGGATTGAGCATGGGTGTAACGTTTGGCTAGTTTCGCAATTGTCGAAGTCATCAGGCCGTAAATGCCACTGGGTCCTAAAATTCTTAGTCCAGTCGCTTCCTTGGCTTAAGAGTCGGCTTAAGAGTCGTGCCCTTTCATCTTGAATTTAAATCAAATTCTTTATTTTCCTGTTTGACAATTTTATGAGCTATTGTATTTGCTTTGCTTTGAATTTGATTCATCCCAATCTAATATAGCTGATAACTTTTTTATGTTTCAAGTTATCAGAGAGAATGTTTGGATCATTCAAAATATTAGATGTCTTCAACCTTAAGACGAAAATCACTTATAGAAAATATTGGTGAACTCAATAGAGGTTTCCTTCAGTGTGATAATGTTCCTACAACGGTTTGATAACTCGACCAATAGCCTGGTGCTCCATAAAAGCATGTTTCGTGCAATTGGCAATATGCATAATTCAGAATATACTGGGGGGTGGTAGATCTAGAATGATTTCCATGCCTGCAGACGGTGTAGTGCTAATGACATCGGACATAGGCAGACAAGCCTGTCTTTTTCACTTGAGGCATTTGCTGGGAAACCTTCAGTCACCAGGCAAATTTGATTATTAGTCTGACGATTATCACATATTATATCTTCCAAATTTATGTAGGTCCTAAAAACCCCAAGATTTTCTATGATTCTTTCGACAAGTTCATAGCGATATTCCGACTTCGCGTACAATCTTTTCCAAGTGAGCATTCCAGAAGAGTTTATCGATGATGATACCCAGATATTTCACTTCTACTGAAATTGGGCTAATCTCACCATTGAGAGAAATGGTGGAGCTAAATCATCCAGATTTCTCTTTCAGTTTTGTAGGGCTTGACGACATTTGCTTCCTCTGGCACCAACTAAAACATCGTCCACTGTTTTTGGATGATAATACATAATGTTATCTACCAAGGTTTTGGCTAAATCTTGGTAACACCCTAGTACCAGCCCTTGAGGTAAGACGTTGTCTGTTCAAGGTTAATAGTACTAATAGTGCTATCAGTGCAGATTGTTATATTGATCCAACGTGGATCATTTGCATATACTTGCAAATCTACCACTCCTGAGAACACCGAGCTTTTCCATTAGTAGTAACCCAGCCTGAGGTTAATCCTTTGTGACCTTGTGTCTAATGGATTCATCTTGAATTCAAGTCAAATCCTTTATTTTCCTGTTTGACAATTTTATGAGCTATTGTATTAGGAATTACAGTTGTAGTAGTTGTCCTCTTCATGAGCAAGGCTTAGATCCAACAACGATGGATTAGTCACGTCATGAGCAAGGCTTAGATCCAACAACGATGGATTAGTCACGTTCTGATAATGAGGATAAGATAAGAAATTGTGTCTCATTTCTGGAGTGAGCCATGTCAAGTATTTGAGAACAAATGTTTCGGTAAAGTGTAAAAATATTGTACAGTAATTGATTGAGAGTATGGAAACCGGATACAATCCTATTGGAATTTTCTGTGATCTCAGTCGAGCTTTCGATTGCATGTCACTAATTGATAAACTTTATTTCAACTGGGTACAAAGCAAACCTTTGAAATGGTAGCATTCCTATCTCAAGAGAGTGAACATGAGTCACAAGACTGAGTCAAACACTTCTATTTACCTACTTGTCATCTCCACAGCCGACCAATGTACACGTATGGTCTCCCAGAAATCTGTTTGACACCTTTGTGTGAGAGCTTTGACTTGTTAATAGGCCGACGATGCTTTGTTATTATTCTGCGGTAAATCTGATGGCAATCACTGGCAAACACTCTAAATAGCTCGTTGCTTGCCGTGTTAGGAATGACACGTTAAAAGGTGAGACCTCGTTAGTCCTTAGCTCGCACAAGTTTCGACTTCTGAAGGCTGTCGTTCGTAGGGGTGCGATAGCTGGCTAACGGAAAAACAGATTCAACAGAAGAGATAAATAATCGAGAGGAGCAAACTGCCTAAAGAAGTGATGAAAGAAATAATGAAAGAACGAATGACAGGTACAACCTCCAATTTTTCAAATGGGAAGTATAGGTTTGTGATGTATCGTTTGAAAGGTCTCTTCATTCTCTATTCAAAAATGTTATCGCTTTCAAGTTCATTGCAACAATCAAGATAAAATAAATTAAAATCATATAGTTACCGAAATTCGACAAAATACACTCAAAACTAAAATGTAATATAAAACGTAATAAAATGTAGAGTACGAAAAAAAACTATGTATGTTAACGAAGTAGATGTTCAAAATGTTCACCGCGAACGTCTTGGCAACATCCTAATCTCCAATAAAACTGTCTTCTAACATTATTTAACATATCAGGTGTTGTGTTCGGGTTTTATCTCCGTAACCAATAATTTGTAAAACTGTTATTTCCGTTAATTTAACCATTTGTCAGACTTGAAGTTAACAAACTTTTAAACTTAAATTGAATTAAATTAAATTACTTTCAGACGATATATCACAAGCCTATACTTCCCATTTGGAAAATTGGGGTTTGTACCCATTCGATGGGGGTTGAATGTAGGGTATTTCATGTATTGGTATTATCCTGATTGTCCCGATCTAAGTGAACTCTTATTTCTGGGAAATTGGATTTATTGTAGCTCATTTATGGATTATAACATTTTCCTCTACTCTATTATATTAAGTGACAGAAGGCCACAATCTAATGGGTTCTGAACGGACACCCTGTATTGAATTTCGTATGCATGCAAATTAGTTCCTAATAATGATTTAGGTGTTTACCTGTTCGGGCGTGGCAAAAATTATTGTCTTCTCGAATAGAAAGACCATTCTTTGGCATTTGTCTATAACGAATAATTCACTCATTACGAAAGATCCAAAATTTTCGTCACTTTCTCCTAAGGGGCTGTCCTTTATAGAATCTATGGCTACAAATGTATTGCCTCTAGTCATCTGGGTCCTCACCATTTTCAGAGCTTCAAGTGTCCGCACATTTGATATGCCTAGTTTTTTCTGTTCCTTTTCGACCTTCTCTAGAAACAATATGTACTTTCCAAGTCTTTGGATCGGAATGAGGAGGTAGGCCGAGAAATCAAAAAAATCTCCAAACTTCTCTTTCATATCCTACAAAACATTTTCATTTCAAGTAAGGCATAAAATTATTGGGAAACTATGGAAACAATGAAAGTTTTAAAAGGAAATCTCAATTATCACTCTGAGATTATTTTCATAAATGGGATCAGGATTTTGCAATCAGGCTCTATTGTATTTTTTGTTTTCGGAATAATTGACCGGTGAGACTTTCAAAGTTATCATTTTCAGGCATGAAAAAACTAATATTTCCTCTTCCTGAAATTATATTCATGTCCCCAAAGTTAGTACATGCTTTTTTCTCTCTTCTCTTTTTAATTTATTGTGATGGGTGTGCTTGAATTTGATAAAATTCTTGAAAACCAGTATTCACCTATCTTTCTATAGTATATATACAGATTAGACATAGGATTTTTGGACAATTTTTGATATTTTGCGTCAGTTGATAATTCAGTTCTATGTTCGAATCTTTCAGAAAGATCACCTATTCTGTCGGTAACACTTACAATAAATAAAAGAAATATTTCAAAAATCAACGGCATTCAAATCCTAAACAAAATGACAACAAATATTCATGTTTCAAATTTTATATAATTTTCACACGGCTTATTTGGGCATCAGAGTATGCCAAGTGTGAAAGTTGAGTTTTCCGTCGATGTCACTTTCTATATTGTAACAGGGATATTGTAGCATATGAAAGTATCCTGTGCTATTTATCATCAGATGGTACTAGTTGACCGTCTGCGAAATAATTGTTTACAATTCAGCATTGGCATTATCTTTTTTTTTTCATCTTTCGATATCATGCAGCCTTAGGTTTTGAATGTAGCACACGTTACAATTTTTCGTTGCTAAATTTTATGTGATTGGTTTTGTTGTTAATAATCTTCACGCTTCTTAAGACTTCTAGTACTTTGCTATATATTTCCAGGTATTCATTTGATATTGTCTCATTGTTATCTATCGTTATCGTATTATTAGCATAGCATACCTTCTATTTTTCAACTTTTTTTACACTCTTCATGGCTACAACTAGAGCTTTTGTAACCTTCTCTCGCTCTTGAGGTTGTTGAGCATGATAGGTCTTATTACTGTTGGTAGCGGTTTTCCGCTTTTAGTAGTTTCCACATGTCACGTTTTATTTGATGAAAAGCCTTTTCAATACCTTTAAAATCTAAACGCAGTTTTCCATTTTCATTTTTTCGCACTCGTTCTGTTACAAAAATAACGTCATTGAGCTCGCCATTCAGTCTCTTTTACAGAATTCATGCGTAAAATTTTGTTGTTGTTTTGTTTCGTCTTAAGAAGAAAATATCCACTTCTGATCTTTGATCCTTTCTTACTCTCATGTAAGAACTAAATTCAATTGTTAATTTCTTCTCCTGGTTATTTTGAATATGTCTTTCAAAATAAAATGAGCATTTTCAGTTTTTTGTTTGTTCTTTCGATAGAATATCATCATTCTTTTCTCATTCGTTTTTGTTGATGGATATCAATCCTGTCATTATGTTTTTATTCAGGTCTCCTGATATTATGATTCTATTTTCACATTCAGCAATTAGGTACTCATGAAATGTATATACTTTTTCTTTTATGGAATCTAAATTGGCATCTACTACTAATTTTCTCTGAGATAGCGGATTATAAACTTTTCCTCTTCTTATTTTGACGAATCAAAAAAATGTCAAAATTAACTCACTGTAAAAATCCCAGTGTATGGTTTGAGGACTTCATCGGTTTTAGGTTTGATCCTGAAGTATTTTGGATACATGGCAAGTAACCTTTCCTGAAAGTCATAACCATAAAGAAGAAGACAAAACAACGAAGAAGCAACTTACATTCGAAATTAAAGATTCTATGACACCATCGATATTTTCTGATCCATCAATTTCAGCGAGAAATTTCAACTGGTAATGAAGAATATCTTTGATACAGGCAAATAAATCTTTCACCTCGTCCAATTCCACCAGAGAACTCGTGTAAAAAGAAATATATGGAATAAAATCCTGCAATGGCAAATAAATAACTGAAATTATTTCGGAGTGTTTGTTTTATATTAAAGAAACTTACTTTTACAATTTTCAATAAGTCGTCGACATATTTCTTCTCGGTTGTTTTGATTTCTTCTACGATGAAATCCAGTCTTCATAGAATATGAAATGGTTTTATTAAAAATAAATGAGGGGCGGTGAGGCGAATATAGCCTTTTCAGACGACATTCGCCTCACCGGGTAGACTCAGCTAATTATTTGCACTTGAGTAAATGAAAACGTAAAAGTGCATTTGAAATGATGAATCTCACTACGAGAAGAAATTATTTGGTTGGTGACAATATTCTGTTTAGGCATTCGATGACAGTTCCAATTGAAAGTCAAGAATCAACATCTACTGTAAACACAAATATTAATATTCAATAAGTTACCTTCTAGATGAAGGTGTACTGCTTTTTTCCATTCCAATACCCTCATCAAAATCCTCAAATCCACAACTTTCTGTCGAAGTTGTTGAGGAATATTTGGTTGTCCTGCGAGAAACGGAAACAGCAGAATCTCTCTCTTTGTTCTTCAATATACACGACCATAGGAAAGAATATTCCTTTGTGGAACACTCAGATTCAGAATTCAGATTTTCATCTAGAAATCCATTCTGTCTCATATTTTCCAATTCCAGATCCATTTGCTCAATAAGACTAGTTCTATAATCTTCAGTGAAGGTACCAGCAGAAATTTGGTCTAGAGAATTGTTCAGATTACCACTTGAGGTGGTATCTTTACTTTCTTTTGTTGCTTTATTGGAGTCATGACTGGGAGATTGGTGGTGAACAGCATTTCGTACCAAGTTTGAGTCAGAGTTTTTAATATTAACATCTTTAGTTTCGGAATTTTCATCAGTTAGTATGTAAAATTTCGAATTGGTCATGGGTACTTGGTAACCTGTGCTTTGAAATGAACTGACAATATGTTTGACGAATTTTCCATCATTGTTAACTGCTTGCGGACACTTTGATCCTTTCTGATTAGTGGAGTAACCCGCTGAATTTTCCTTATTTTCTTTGGTTTCACTGATATTCGATTCTGATTTCTTTTCCTTTTCATTGATCTGTGAAGAATTACGCCTGCCAATATTCAATTGTATCGTAGGACTTCTCGGTCTATTGATTCTGTGGCTGGATTTGGACCTGCCTTCTGTTATTTCTCTCCATGGAAACGTTATATCACTTGTTGGTTTCATGAATAAACTCTTCAACATGCTCACTTTGTATTCTCTGTTATGTTCTTCAACTGGTTCGGGATTTTCCCTAATGGATACATTAGTCTTGTATTCCTTTTGGTTGTTTATGAGTTGTAGACCATTGTGTTCATTCCAGATCTCATTATTCATATTGGGGATGGATTTTTTTCCATCTTCATTCGAACGAACTGATTTGACGATATTTTCGATCTCTTGTTTTTCAATAGTTGATTTCTTTGTACTCTGTTTACGGTCATTATTATTCAAAATCGCCCGAATTGTTTCAGTACCTCTTTCTTCTGATCTTCTCTCCCTGATTTTACTTCTATCACTTGAGTAATCATGTTGGTTATTGTCGAAGAGACATTTCATTTTTTGCACATAACTGCACTTTGCAGGAAATTGACTAGATTTATTACAATTTGCCATAATTAACGTTACTTTTCACTAGTTTCTTTAAGAATGTTTGATAATATATTTTCGATTTCATGGAAATTGCAAGGTTCCATTCGTGATTAGTTTTGCTATGCAATCTGCCTTTTATCAGATATGGTGGTTTTGATAAGGAAAAAAAAATGACAGGTGTAATCGTCATTGACAACAAGACTAACCTTGTCTGGTTTTTAAAACATTGGGACATACTATATTCTGAAAATAGTTTTTTCACTTGAAGTTTCATAGTGACAGTGGTTCAACGAAAAGTTTTCATCTAGTGTTTCAGGTCTAAGTGAATTTTAACAGAGAAAGTGCCCGGACAGGTCGATTTCAATTTCGCTAAGAAAGTTTTTCCGAAATCTCAACTCTGTCACTAGACCCTACAAGAGATGGGCTGAAGCCCCTAAAAACGAGTTATTTTCATTTTGGAGGACATAAAATTTTCCTTCTAGTGATATTCTATTTCTTTTACCATTTCGAGTCGTGTAACTTTGGTATCTTTAGACAAGTTCAGTTATTGCGAGTCGAGACAACTACGTTGATTTTTGGTTTTGATTTTAAGGTATTTTTTTCATCAATCGGGTAGTCATGTGATTATATTTTCTAAAAACTGATAGAGAGTTGAATATTATTTGAATTTATTACAAAATCGATGACTGGTAAAATCTCAAATTGAACATTCAAAATGGTTTAGGAAAACTCAAACATTGGTTTGGCGGCAGATTACTTTTGATAAACTTCGAAAAAACTGTATACTTACCATTTAGTAGTCGTGAATCATCTTCGCCAAAATACAATTTGAATATACTGGATGTATATCCAGATTTTCCAATTAAATCTACAGAAAAAACAAAATACTTGGGAATTTACATGAACGAACAAAACATAAATATAAACAAACGTTTGTTTGGTGTCTTCTTGTGTTGTTTCGAAAATTTGGTTGTTGCAATGTTTTTTATTTTTTTTTTGAATATGTATCTAATATGTCTGATGGTTCTTAAAACAGTAATATTATAAGGTTAACTGAACAAATTACTTTTCGACAGCGTCTAGTCAGGCGAATTTTGAAACAGCTCAATATCAACAAGGCGTCTGGCCCTGATGAAGTGTCCGTCATTGTACTGGAAAAGTGCGCAAATGAACTCGCACCAGTATTTTGCCGACTTTTCACTTTGTCTTACAAGAAAGGGGTTTTTCTTTCTTGGAAGATTGCTCGCGTTCAGGTTATTCCCAAAAAGGGCAAGAAAAATTTTCCAAATAACTGTAGACCAGTCGCTTTGGCATCAGTGCTATCAAAAATCATGGAGAAAGTCGTAAACCACTATATCCGTAAATATTTGTGAATATTTGAAAGGCTTCAACATCTTGAGCGATCATCAATATGGCTTTTAGAAACAAAGATCAACAGGCGACCTCCTATTGTTACCCATATTTGAAATAACGCAATCGTGAAACATGGAGAATCAAGAGCTGCTGCGCTTGATATTTCTATGGTCTTTGACCGTGTGTTGCATGAGGGTTTGCTGGCCAAACTTTGATGCTATGGCTAGTTGGATCACTTTTGTGTATGGCTCTTCAGCTTCCTGAATGATTACCATCAACGCTGGTGTTCCCCAAGGATTCATATTGTCTCCAACCCTCTTTTCATTGTATATCAACGACTTATTGGAAAAAAACAAAAATCCAATATATTGCTTTGCCGACGACAGTACACTTCCATTTGGAAGTGTCATTCCATTTGGAATTCATTCCATTTGGATTCCAGGACATCGACTAAGGAGGCATATCTTCACAGGCAGCAGGAGGTTGCATATCTTAATGAGGATCTAGAAGTGATTTCGAATTGAGGTGAAATGAACACCAATATGTCTTGGCACAATCATGTCGCTGGAATTGCAAAGGCTGCTTCTCAAAATTTCGGAACACTGTTCCGAATCAGAAAACTGTACACACCCCAGCAACTTTTCCTGCTTCATAAAGCTCAGATCCGACCTTCTTTGGAGTATTGTTCTCATGTATGGAGCTCTGCCCCCCAACACACCCTGGAGTTGCTGGATTTCATCCAGAAAAAAGTCATCCGCCTGATTGCAGACGCGAACGTCAGATGTATCCTTGATAGCCTGGAACATCGAAGAAAGGTTGGAGATGTGTCTCTCTTTTATAGATACTTTCACGGAAGGTGTACAACTGAGTGAACTTCGAACTTCACTGTTTAAGAACTCTTTCATCTGGAGAACTGCGTTCATGTGGAATGAACTTCCTGAGAATGTTTTTCAAAATGGATTTAATCTTCAGCGATTCAAATCCAATGTGAATCGCTACTTTCGCACAAGCACCGCTCTGAGAGCGCGTTAAGGATTCTCCTGTAGTGCTTGTGCATACATTCTAATGTCACGTTGACCTTCGAAACCGGATATGTCCTGCGTGATCTTTGAAACGAGTTTTGATGGTTCGCTTAGTCTGTCTGATATATTTTTGTAACAGTAAAACAAAAAACAGAACATAAATTATAATTCAAATATAAATATTTATCAGTTTCACAATTTGAATTACGGCTAATACAAAAATAAACATCACACAATACAACACACCTTGGTTGATTCATCTTATATAAAATACCGATTTGCCTGAAAATAAAAAAAACAAATGTATTTCTTTCAAACATCTGAGAGACAATGAATATTTGAGAATCATTTGAAAGGGTTCTGAAACAGGACGGTTTTTGAGTTTGAAAATTATCATGTTTCTTCATATCACTCGAAAACAATACATAGATAACAATTATTTGTGTCGTAAAAGTATAAGTAAAAATTTTAGACGTACTCAAATCTCAGATGAGATTTGTGGCTATTCATTGGTTGACAAAATTCATAAACACCAACTGGATATCTGAACAATCTGCTGAATTTAATTTCATTGTCTATACCTTGATAATTTCTCCCTGAATGAAATTATAATATAACTACGTCAATGTAATAATTGTAATATTAAAACCGTTTCTCTGCATGAGAATAATGTTTATTTTAATTAAAATATCACTCTAATCGAAGATAATTGATTTTACATCTATCAATTTACATACCTGCAGATTCAACATGGCTCTTGATTTTATCTTTCTTATATTTTGGTGTACTTCCTGAATTTAAAGTCATTTCTGAAATGAAAACCATTTTGAGAATACTGCTAAAATGTGAAGTGAACCAGATAAATATCAATAATTTAGAACTACTTGTAATTTTTGGGAAAGGAAGAATTTGGTGTTCTAATTCTACTAACAACTGATGAAAATGTTGATAAAGTGAAAAAAATTGTCAAGGAGAGTGGTCGAATCACTATTAAACAAGTTGCTGAGGATGTCGGCATATTGTTTGGCTCATGCAATGCAATTTTTTCGTAAATTTCAGGCATAAAGCTTGTGGCAGCGAAGTTCGTTCTGAAATTGCTGAATTTTGACCGCCATCCCGGTGGAAGAGCCCAGAAGAAACAAGACAAAATGGAAGCACGCCAAGTTTGATCGAATATCAAGATTTTGCTCACTGTTTTCTTCGATTAACGTGTCGTGCTGCATCAGGAGTTCTTGCCATATGGTCGTACGGCCAATAAGGAGTATTATCTTGAAGTTATACGCCGGTGTAGTGGAAAAACAACACAAGGCTTTTGCATCACCTGTCATTGCTTGTTCGTAATTTTTTGGCTAAAAACAATAACGTAATCATTCCTTAGCCACCGTATTCACCAGATTTGGCCTCCAGTGACTTTTAATCGTTCCCAAAATTGAAGAGATTCATGAAAGGATGGCGGTTTGCGACGATTGAAGAGATAAAATCCGAACCGCATAGAGAGGTCAAGGACATACCAAAAAGTGCATATTAGAACTGCTTCAAGGATTGGGAAAACGCTGGCACAAGTGAGACTGGCCTGGAAGAATTGTTCTTAGATGATTTGACAAGTGTATTTTATCTGAGGGGGCTACTTTGAAGGGGACAAACTAGAAATTAATGAATAAATCAATGTTTTTTGAGAAAGAAGAAAATTTACCTCATTTTTCAACAGTCCTGGTATATTGGGAACATAATTTGTTTCAAACCTGTTGAATATTTTCAACCATTTCCCAAACGCAGGCATGTGACAGAATATTTGTCGTAATTGAGTGGAGGGTATCAATAACTTTATGTGAACACAGGGTCTGGACAAAATACTACGTGGGTAAATCAAATATAAATGAGACTTTTCGACCTTTAGGCACAATAGGGAGAACGTTCCTGCTATGTTTGTTGTTGAGTAGGTTTGTCAGGAGTAGGGGAAGCACGTGGGCTCGCCTCCTGGACCCTCTCAGTGTCCACCGCAAAAGACGAGACATATCTATCAGGGAAGTGGTTCTTCTCCATGACAATGCTCGCCCCCATACAGCAACCTTGACTAGGGAAAAATTGGAGCAACTGGGGTGGAGCACATTGGAACACCCCATTGGAACAGTCCAGACCTGTCACCCTGTGGCTTTCATGTGTTTGGCCTTATCAAGGAAGCTTTGGGAGGCCAAAGATTCGATGGTGATGCTAAGGTTGAAGTCTACGTGCGCAATTGGCTGCAGACACGATCTGCATCTTTCTAAGTGGAATCATTTGGAAATTGCCTGACGGCTGGGAAAAATGTGTTTCCAAATCAGGAGATCATGTAGAAAAATACATCATATTCTTTTTTTGCCTTCAAAATAAAAATGAATGACCAAAAAAAAGTCTCGCTTATATTTGATTCACCTAGTAATTATTAATAAGCAGTGATAAGGAGAAATTACGCGAAGCATCTTTTGAGGTCTTGGGTCTTGCATACATAATGAACTTTTATTATTACTGTATCGCTATTAAGAATGAACTATAATTTTGTTCTGGGATAACAGGTACATACTAATTTACCTTTTACTTTGTACAATTGCTGCCATAAAATACCCTCTATACTCTCCCTCCAAGAATCCCATATTTTTTCGGTTTTCGCCTCCAAAACGTAGGTATATCGAGATGAGTTATTTTTCTTTTTGCTCTTTGTATAATCTGTCAGGTGAATGGTGTAATTTTCGAATGTTGCAATTCGCAAGTCCTCCATCTTTATACTATCGTAATAGTTGAATGTTTCGTGACTATACTGAAAATAAAGAGGAAATAAAATATGAATTACTTCGAATTATTCAACGAGTCTGCCAAAAATTGAAGAAAAGGAATTATTATAATTATAAAAATGATAGGAAAATGAGCTTAATTTTGGATGTGATTTGGTTGGGATTGTTGGAGATGGTATATCTTGGCTTTTGAGCCAAAATAAACCCTTGCGGGTTGCGGTGGAGGGCCGAATAGACCCAATTACTTCAGACCTAACCTTGGCTTTTGAATTGTTGCTTTAGGAGGTTTTGATTCAGCTTGTATTGACATACTGAAGAGGTACATAATACTAACATGATTAGACAGATGATAGATTTAATTTTTCTGTGACAATCGCCCTACAGTTTTCTGAACGATTTATCGAATAACAAATTTTTATCAAGATATAAAAAATGAATCATACTGCTGATTATATTTTTTTCACAAAAATTAGATGTTTTCTCGTTTTCTGACGAACTGGAACACCAGAAAAAAAATGAATTGTATACTTTATTTTGAGAAACGTTTGAAAAAGTTTGATTGTGAACGCGTTGTTTCATACTCTTTAATAAGCAAATAAATTTTGAAGATAGTTATGACGTAGTTACGAACACTATCCCACATTTTCTCTTATAAAAATGGAGAAACAAATTACCAAAGAAAAGTTTTCTGAATCTAGATACCCTTTTAAAGTACTGATGAATTATTACTATATTTTGCAGATAATAGGATTCAGTGATAAGAAGAAACTCCTAGATGTTTCCAGCCCAAACTTCATCACAGATAATAGAATAATGACTCTCGAAATTATCTAGATATCAGAATGTCGATACAATTTATAGGAAACTTAGTAAGAGTCAGAGTGAATTTATGCTGAAATTGACTCAACTACTCATATAAATTTGAAAGAGTTCTGTGGAATTTGCAAAAAAGAAAAATATGAAATGATCAATGGCATTCTCTTTGAATGCCTCATTTACACCTCAATGTAATCTTCACACATTGAACAGCTAAAGAATGAAGAAAAATGTGTTGGTATCTTGAATGATATTATAGCAAATCTATCTATGAACATGGGAGTAAGATTGGAGGTATAGTTGTCAACGAGTAGAGTGTGTTTCCTCCCTCTTGCGTTTGTATCTCTGAATCTATGCATTCTTTTGTTCCATCTGGTTTTCTGTTGATTTTTTTGTAATTTTTTTCTCTTGTCCCCCATTAACTACTTATTCGTTTTAAAAGTGGCAATTTCTAAGAGTAATTTGATGGATGTAGCCGTTACTACGTGGTAGGAAATCATAATGAAAAAAACAGAATTGGACTTTTCTATGTTTTTTTACATTTTTATTTGTAACTAACGCTACTGCAGTTCCATCCTATAAGGACATTTTCCAACTTATACATTGATGTATACATGTATCATGTATACATGTATGCATACATTAATGTATACATGCATCATGTATACATGTATACATACATGTATACATTAATGTATAAGTTTGAAAATGTCCTTATAAGACGACACTGCAGTAACGTTAGTTACAAATAATAGTGGTAAAAATATAAGATAGTTCCAAGTAAGGTGAATAGAGATAAAAAGGTTGTTAACAACATGGTAATGTTTTTGATGAAATAATTGCCCTCTACAGTTTTCAGTGTTTTCTATTTCGAAAGAGTGAGACGTTTTAGTTGAGACACCACTGTATTCAATGGTGCATCAGATAAGAAGTTTTTCTTAAATTTTACAATATACAAATATCGATATGGCAAATGTATAACCAGGATAATAACTCACGTGGTCCTCTACAGCCAGAACAACATAATTACTGAAGAGAAACACAGTAGCTTCCATTCTTCTGGGTTTACTGATAGTGAAGTTTTCTCGCATTTTGAAACACCCGTAGGACATCTTGCTGATTGGACTATTCTGTATCGAATCTATCGCTACGTAGTCGTTGCCTTTGGACATTTCGTTTTTGACTATATCTAAGGCCATTTGTGTACTACCTATTGGCAGATCAAGTCTTTTGAGTTCCTTCTCAATGTTTTCTAGAAACAATATGTATTTTCCTAACCTCTGAACGGGCGTCAGCAAATACGCAGAGAAATCTAATCTTTCTTCGAAGTGGTCTTGCATATCCTGCAAAAGATAAAATTAACTCAATGAAGAAATATCTTTCATATTTGAAATCTTGTTTGAAACTTTTTTCATTTTTCAGCAACATTTCTTTCATGTTATTTAATTCAAATTGTTAGTATATTTGAACCCAAAGTACATGTGTTTTATTGACATTTTCTTATTTATTATCATACTATCATCAACGTGTTTCCATTATAGGACACAATAATATTCTACTAACATGTATCTATATTCTGAATCTAGATTAAATAATGACGCACAGTTATTGAATAAAGGTCAAAACGCAAATTATCTATTACAATTGGTAGTTACTCACATAATCGACTGCAAGGCTTATTACTATACCTAGTTGCCCTTGCTGAAGAAAACAAAATAGATTGCAGATGAAGTTTGTAGGTATCTACAAGTTAAATGCAAACGAAGCATCAGCCGACGTTTATTATAACTGTTTTTTCATCCTCAAATGAAGAAATAAATTGTTTCTATCTTCCTGCTCAAGCATCACCAACATTTATGACAGATGAACACAAAATGACTGATATTATAAGAGGTAATTCAATCAATGTGCTAAAATTGTATGGTGAAGCGCAGGTTTCAGAAAAGTATGTACTACAGTGGCTGTAGTTATTTTCCAAAGCATCAGATAGTATAGGAATGATACTATTTCGTCTCCTTCAACAAACTATAAAATTCACTCTCCAAATCACTCTCACTAGGTGGTCAATTTACTAGCAAACTAAGACTCAGAATCAGAAACTAGCAGTTATGTGTAAAGTTCTTCATTTATTATGTATCTCGATGTGGAAACAATAAGCTGCTCAATCAGGTTTCCAAGAAGCAATGAAGAAATTGTAGTACTTTAGAAACAACACATTGAAAAAATCATTGAATCACTTGATAACAATTAAATTCAATTCATTTTGATAATCAGAAGTTCCAGATATCATTGCTGATTCATTGAAGTCATGCATATTAGTTCCTCAGATATAGATGTAAAGTTGAATGTGTTAAAAAAACTTCTTTGGCTTGAATAAGAATAAACCAGATTCTGAAAAAGCCTGCGTCTGGATCATAGATAATATCATTTGATTATGATTGAAATAACGAGGAGAAGTATACAAATGTTATGAATTTTATTGTCATTGTAAATATAAAAGTCTTGGTTGGTATGGATCTTGATGATTGTAACTGATCTTATTTTTTTGAATAACCGTGCTAGGAATCACACGTTGAAAGGTAAGACCTCGTTAGTCCTTAGCTTGCACAAGTTTCTCAACTTCTGAGAGTTGTCGTTCGTATGGGAGCGACAGCTGGTTAACGGAAAACAGATTTCAAACCAGATTTTTTTAAAACAGATTTTAGATATCAAGTTCATTTATATGATCGCCGTTGACAGTGATGACCTGGCCAACATCGTTCTCAAAAAATATACACCTATTCATCAAGAAATGGCCCTCATTGCTGAAGATAATTTTTCGATGAAAATTAGGGATTAGGGAAAAGTGGGATGCAAATGAGTTTGCTACTTCATTATGTTTCAATTCCTCATAATTTTCAATAATCACTTTCGATTTTTGTTAATTTTTTCAGATTTTAGTGAATAATCCTTTATACTGTCCTGTTCAATTTCTCTCTAAATGATTGTATTATTCATTTCTAGAGTTGTTGTTTTTGGGATACTTCCTAAATATCTTGTCATCTTTTATCTATATTAAAAAAAGTGTTTAGAAACCTTGTTTTACATAACGTAATAAAAATCTCCTACTTAACCTCTGTCAATGAAAATTTTGTACTCCCGCTAATATTCTGACTGTCTGAAAAAATCAGACCATAATTTGATTTTTTTTCTTTTTTTTTTATAATTTGATTTGATCCTCACCTGAATAATCATGCCGAACTCTTTCAGAACAGCGTCTGCTTTCGGTTTGTTTCTGAAGTAGTTGGGATACAATTCGAATAATTTTTCCTAAAATTATATTTTCTTTAGAAACATTTGAAGTCCAGACCGGTTTTCACTTACGTGCTCTATGAAACAATTAACAATCTTATTGATATCGTCAGCAGATTCTTCAATCGATGTTAGGAACTTATTTTGTTTAGAGAGAATTTTTTCTATATTGCCAAATAAGTATCCCTGTCGCTCTTTTAGATACACTGGAGTATGTTTCTTGATGAAGGGTTTGAAAGTCTGAAATTTATAGAAATATCAAGGTTGATTAAAATAGTTCCTACTCAAACACAACTTACGAAAACTACTTTCTCCAAATCGTTGATATACTTTCGTTCGGTTGTTTTTATTTCTTCGATGATATACGCCAGCCTGAAATACATTGAAAAGCTCTAGTTTGATATTTCAATTCTTGATTCAATTCGATAGTAATTTCGATATGACAGCTCTCATCGGTGATACTGAACTGGGTAATGATTGCAACATCTGAACTCAGCTGTTCTTAACAACAGCATCCTCATATAGACTCAATTACATACATATAACATGTTCATTAGACCGATCCTGTACTGTAGAAAATAATCCTCAGCAATATCCACAACTTTCCCTTCAGATTTTCCTCTCAGGATTTGTATGACACAGATAAACTAAAGATTTCAGCAACTCGATACTTCAGCAAGGTCTATACCCCACCAGAACACTAAACAGTACCAACACTGCCGCCATCAACACACTGGCCACCCCCTGGAAACCTCGTGGGGGCTCCAGAAGGATTCCGAGGGAGAAGATCCCGTTTCCCTCAGTCAGGCACCTAGGAGTCATGGAGGACCCTCTGGAGCGGATCCATGATATCCTTCAGGAATACTCACTGACCCTGGAGCATACTGAAGCCTGACCCCCACCCATTTCCAAGGCCTGACCGAACCGGAACCCACCAAATACCAACCACACAAAATGTACCTGGACCATCCGCCACAATCGAACAACACCACCCACACACCAAGAAAGCCATGCACAAGGACCATGAGAAACTCACCAACCCAATTAACATCGCATTAAGAGCATTGTTGAAACCAACCAATAACTTTTATCAAGATAGAATGAGACATATTAGATTGAGATAGTTGAGATATTGTAGCAAAATAGACATCAGTGAACCAACCCTAACCATGAAGAGGCATAAGCCTGACGCAGGGCCTACACAACCTAATATAATGAAAAACATAACTATACATAAACGTTTTGAATTGAATTGATTCGAATACCCCTGTAGGGTGAAACATCACCGGCAGAAGTGATAGCCCTCCTCTTCAACGCCTCATCCTAAGATATGGGTATCTGTGTCGAGAGGATGTATGATTCTTAGAAAACTCATTTTAAGTAACCTTCGAGATACCGGCGCGCCTTCTATCATAAGAACACTTGTCACAGTAATGCGGGGTTCAGCTACTCGTGAACTCCTTTATGGATCATGAAGTAACCGAAGAAATTGACTCTGACTCTACATACGTTTTCTGAACGATTCCAAAGGAGGCTAAGTGGTGTAGTGAGGAGCCTCTTCTGGAGCAGAATATCTTATGAGTTTGCCTTGCAACAAAGTTTAGAGTAGCAGAAGCCGAACTTGCCTTAGAAGAGGAAATAAACTTTCCCTGGGCATTGGGCGATAATTCTCCCAAACTTGCATGGCTGAATCTAATATGTCGTTAGGAAAAGCTGATGTACCTTCAGATATTCTTATATGGAGAAGTTTCTGCGTTCATTGAGGTTGCATTTTGACACTGTGTTGATATTGATAACCTCGAAGTCGTCTAATCCACTGGAATATTTTTATTATGTCGATAAATCTGCCGCAGAGGATAATTCAGAAGATGGTCTACAGATACTGTTCTAGAACTGCATATTCCTTCCTGGAAGTTACATATCACTTCAGGAGATCGGCAGAGTGTTGGCTTGTGTTGGTTATCTATCTGACGAAGGTAGTCGATCAGGACCTCAGCAAATTGAGGAAAAAGTACCAAGATCTGCTTAAGTACACTGGTCCTGTATATTTTCAAAACATCGTTGTAAAGATATTCCAAAATATCATTCAGGTCCATCTTGTTATGAAGCATGGCCCACTTTTTTCTCCAGAAAAGCAAACTGTTCCAAACGGACAGTCGTTTTAAGAAAATGAATGATTTTGGTTTGAATTGATTTGATACAACTGTCTAAAACGATACTCTACCGTACTAGTACGTGTTCGATTTTCTGAGAGATGATTAAATTGTTTTCAAATATAAACGAAAATACTTACTTTGTAGGTGATGGAAAAGAATTGCTCCTCTTCACTGTGGAATCTGCAGAGAAACTGTTTTCAATGACTCTTTCAGGATTCACCACTCTCTCAATCCTTATAACACCTTTATTATCGCAAAACGTTTCCCTTCTTACGTTAACGTACTCATCCTTGCATTTAGGCCTGCCAAGTTCTATCCCTTCGTCATCGTCATCGAAAATTGAGCTATCTCTGGAAGTTGTCGAGTAGATCGTAGATCTATTTGACGTTGGAGCATAAACGACTATATTCTGTCCTACGTTTTCCTCATCAGAGTTTTGATATACTACAGATTCGTAAATATGTTCATCAGGTTCTTCGACAACTAATATATCGTCCACCGTCTGGTCAACATTTTGGTATAATATCACATCTGATCCCTGTAGTTTGTCTCGCATTGCTTCGAAAGTTTGAGAGGTGACAACTCGTCTGTCGACCATGACTTGAATTTCTACCAATTCTCTGCCATCATCATTGTAGGCTTCGACTATGTTCAGTCCTGTTTCGAGATCGTCTCCCAGACTTTCGGTAAACTCGTCCTCAAATGTACTGCTACTAGCTGCTGCATCCACTTTGATGAAGACACCTGATGAACCTTCTTTTGATTTGCCTTCGCCTACAAAGCAATTTTCATCTTTGGTGTATTCTGAGAGGTTAACCGCAACCTTATCTGGGTCAGCCTCAAGGTAAATTTTTGGTTGCCCTTTCCACAATTCATTTTGTAATTCTTTCTTTTCGGATGATTCATGAACTGCCGTGCATTCTTTGTCTTCACTATCTGAATTTCTATCATATCTCATAATAGACAAGAAGTCACTCTCTTCCGGAGAAAATATATCTTTGACGTGTTCTGTTTCGGAATGTTTCAACAAACTGTTACGGGGCGGATTCTGAATAACCTCAATGAGGAGTTTTGTTGATGAATCATTCTCTTCAGAATATCGCCTTCTTAACTTATCTTCGTACACTAATGTATATTGGGTATCACCTGATTTTCTAGATGCACATGTAGAATCGTGCAACTTCTGCTCCATAATTGGCAGAAAGTCAGTTTCGTGTGGAGAAAAAACATCATTGTCTTCATCACTTACATCTTCGCTGTCAAGAGGATTTTCTAGGTCGTCCAGGAAACCATCCGCCTTCATGAGAGCGAAATTTTGATCCATTTCTTGGACGAGACTTTGTCTGTATTTTTTCGTCTCCGCTTCGTCCATTGCGGCGAAGCTTCTCGTTTTTTTCTCCCGCAAGTCTTGAATATTCTTCTCGAAATTCCTTCGCTTTACGTGGACGTTTTTACACATTTCCCGCAACTCTTCTAGGTTTGTTTTGTTTTTCTCGATAACTTTTTCAATTTGTTCTTCCGAACGAGATCTATATAGGCGTAAGGCAGCATTAGTGGGTGGGTCATCTTTGACAGACGATCCCTCCACTTCATTTGAGTTATGCCTTTCCTCCTTGGATACATTTTTCTTGTACTTATTTTGCCGTGAACTAGTGCGAATACGATTGTTTCTAACGAAGAGTCTTTCTGTACTCACGGGAGCTTCATCCTGAGGGACGGTTGATTTTGTTCTGGGTAAAGTTGTACTAGATGATTTTGAGGGTCTCTTGATTTCGAAGAGTTGCCTCAGTTTGTTCACTTTTCCTTTAGGTTTTTGTTCTGTGGGACGGTTCATTTTAAAACAAACATTTCCATGAATTGTTTTATGAAAATCACTTATATCATTTCACTGGTAAGCAATTTTGAACTGTGAACGGTGGTTGCCCTTATCTTATCCGTTTCACTCTTATCTCCAGTTAGATTATAGAACTTATTCGTTATCCGCTATATAATATGACATTTATATTGCGAGTAGGTAAGTGTACCTTTCAGTTCAGCACCGTACTGCATGCTGAATGATTTGAAATAGAATGTAATGAAGAGTTGGGATTTTTATCAAAAAAAAAGGCTGTGACTGATTAGATAAAAGATGCAAAGAGGGACATGACATCATTTATCATTTAGCGTTGAGATGTTACTATCTACCATTACCTATACAGTAACGTACTTAATCTAGACATGTACAAAAAAATAAAGTGATGATGAAAAAAGAGAGAACAAAATTCCTTCTGGTAGGTTGTGGTCGAATTGAACTAGAAGTATAGTCTATCCATTCCCAATTGGAACGGCAATAAAAATAAGAATACAGTCATGAACATTTCTTACCTGTGGCCCCTAGTCGCCCAGATAGTTAGTAAACGTACTATCAAATGTAGTTGAGGAATAAAAGCTGCCTGAATACTATTTTTTGTCCGTTTCACAATATTTCTTTATCAGTGCCGTGTGTTCGTGGGGTTAGGTGGGGTAGTGAGTGGTGTTGCAAATCGATTTTTGAAAACTTCTTCTAGAGATCAATTACCCTAACACCAAACCAATATTTTTGCACTCGACGTTTCGCTAACAAGGTTAGCATCTTCAGGAGAAGCAAATTGATTCTGAATCTAAAGACAAGGGTTAGCTGTTTATATACCGTCCGATGTGGACTTTGTTTGTTAAATGATGATTATCCTATTTGATTTTTTGGTAATTAAGTAGTGAAACCACTACCTGCAAATTTATTTGTCCGCTTTTTAATCTACTGTTGTCTACATATTCATCAATATGGCTTTCTGGATACCTTTTGAAACAAATGATAACATAACGTTTGAGGAATCTATGTCAATCGACAGGGATCCGGAATTTGAAAATAAGGACTTACATGTTCAAGTTCAGCGAGTAATTTTAAATATTCATGAATGCTTGAAGAAGGAAAACTGTCACACTTCACAGAATGCTATTACGAATAGAATATGCGAGTTAACGAAACTATCTCGTTTTCGGATATTGACTACAATACCAAACAATAACACAAAAAAGCAGATATTGTTGATTTCATGCTAAATCATGACATGGAAATATCCGAAAAGATTCCAACCAAAAAGGTATTACTGGCGACCATAAAATAACGTAATTTCAAAAAAGATTATAGGTATTATTGATTCGATGTGTGAAACACGTGGTCATATTCTCCTCCATACTATTGTGTGTTCAATCCAATTGAAATGGTTTGGGCCACAATGAAAGAAAGCTTGCGGAAATGTAATCAGTCACCGATTTTGAATTCTGTAGTGCTTGACAATATAAGGCGAGTGGTGAATGAAGTAGGTAGTAGTGATGTGTGGAAGAACTGTGTGGCCCACGTTATAAAAGAAGAGAACAAATATTATGTGCAAAGTTCCATAAATTCGATCGTTATTCAACCCGATGATGACTCCAACTCATCCGAATATAGCGAAGAAGAATTTTGATTTTTCTAGCAATTTTGTTGGCCTTTATTATTTTCTAAATATATGTTTGACAAGAATTCGCTGTGATTATTTGTTTTATTATTATTTAGAGTTTTCGACTCGGAAATCAACTACCATAAATTTCGAAGTTTTTCATAATTACCCATGGTGGAAAAATTCAGTTGAAATAACTGTTTCATGGGGTGATCAATTGCTATGATTGTAAGAATGAATAACTGAAAAACTATCACTGAAAATTAATATGGGGTTATCTATGATTACAATCTTGAGGTGTCTCACGGTGGCCTTCTCGAAGGTTTTGGAAGGTGCAGCGACATTACTGTCGTTGCGCGGCTTCTTCAACCTTCTTGGGGTTCCCTCCGTGGAGGTGCTCAAGTGAGGACGCTTTCCTGCAGAGGTAGCCGGTTCCTTACCTTTATTCAAGGCGGAGCTCACCGTACGGATTATCTATGATTACAATCTTCAGGTGTCTCACAGTGGCCTCCTCGAAGGTTTTGGAAGGTGCAGAGACATTACTGTCGTTGCGCGGCTTCCTCAACCTTCTTGGGGTTCCCTCCGTGGAGGTGCTCAAGTGAGGACGCTTTCCTGCAGAGATAGCCGGTTCCTTACCTTTATTCAAGGCGGAGCTCTTGGCGCCTGCCACAGGAAGTGCCCTTGCTGTTGGAGGTGGAGGGTACACTTATAGTTGCTGCAACTCCTGCCTCTTTCGCTCTCTTTCTCCATTTGGCAAGGGAAGAGTTGGTAACCTCTGGCAGAGCCCTTCAAAATTACCAGAGGAAGGCCGATTACAATGAGGTTTCGCCCGGTTACTCAAGGGGATCGTTCGTAATCGCATGTCACCATGCGGCTATTCAGCTGTCGACACGATTCCTTACACGTAATGCCGCATTGGCTTCCCGGATAGGACCCCCAGTTCCCTGGCCGTTCCCCTATCCGCTATCTGGGGACGCACCCGATAGGTAGTCCAACCTACGGGTCTCCACCAACGTTTAAATAACAATGAATTTTGATGAAATTGAACGTTGGTTGAGAGAACCTTGTTGCTTTCACTCCAATTCGAAATCCCTTCTATATCCTTATTCATCTTCCTGCTGCCGGTGAAGATGTGCATCTGCAGCTGATGTCTTTTGTAGTTTTCCCTTTCGATAATAAACTTTTCTTATCAGTCATTACTATCAATATTAATTCGTATTATGGTTTTCAATTGTTTATGAAATCATCTCAGGATCACTCTGTTGAATCGTTTTCGACATGTTAACTACTTGAATTGTTGTTGTTCATCCTGTATGCTCCCAAAGTTACAATTCTCAATATTTGTTCATGAAAATAAACATTCCGTGTAAGATTGCTAGACAGGGCTGTATTTGCCCGGCTGTAACAATATGAACGCTAATGTTTTAGGTTTATTTTCAACCTAGTTCAAAAGATTGACTGAAATAAGTGTTCTATGTTGTTTTTGTTTCATGATACTCTCTCTCTCTCTCTTTGTATGACTGTTGCTTCCCTCTTGGGCACTTCTCGGGCATATTCGACCAACAGTTGACAGGAGCCTCGTGGGGGGGGCAGCAGTTGTGCTCAAGACAATGCTGCCACCATATAGTTTTTTCTCACATTTTTTGTACATAAAATAAATGTATTATTTTAAAGTTTGTCTCCTCTTGGAGACACCTTTTGTTGTTTTTCACATTATTGGACACCTTCACTACCACGGTCACCACGAAACCCCATTTCATGATCCTTTAATACATAAAAAAGTCAGTGATGTTGCCTATTACGACTTCATGAAATAATGAATTCATAAACACACATTTTCCATCTCACCTTCGAAAACAAATTGATCGAATTAATTTTTTCACAATATCATTACCGCGTTTTACTCTACTTATAGGAAATCTCATGAAATATTGTAACCGTTGTGTGTATTTATTGTCCAATGAAAAATATTTACAAAAAAATAATTCATTTATTTCAAGACCAACTTTTTTCACATAATTCATGACAGTAGGAACAATTAAATATTTTTATGAACATGCTGATGAGCTGAAACATAACAATTAATATAGGCACCGTTCTCTATTCTATTCAACAAATCACACAGAAATAACAAGTCTATATACAAGTTTTTAAAAAAATAAGCTTAAAATAATATTATATCACAATAAATTCCTAGGACTATCATTAAGAGGGGGATGGATGATGCCATTGTATAACTTTTTGAAAAAATACAAGACATACCATCATCGAATGGTACTTATGGCGATATTGACACGGAATATCTCACAGAAGAGACATTAAATACGGAACAGGAACCACTGACTTTTTTGACAGATGTCACTCTTCAGATGTTAGTTGTTAACTCAAAAATTTCTTCAGATTTCTAGTAAACAAGGACAAATGGAGTCAATATGGTTGAAATATTGGCTTGACAACCTGCCAAGATAACATTTCAACTGCAATAAAATTATAGATCTGATAACTTTCAAATAATTTGAATGTACCAGTTAAATGACTTCTAACATCTCTAATACAGAATGAACGATTCAGAAACTTAACCCATCAATATCAAAGTAGCACCAGATGAGTGACTCTTCTGAGGTACAGACTTGAAAATAAAAAGTTGGTATAGTCGAAGTAAACGATATTGTGCACTATTAAAGTTGGCACTCTCAAAGACCAAAAAAAAAACAATACATAGAAATGAACCGGCAGCAAACTTAGCGGTGAGTATTGAATAATTTTTACTAACCGAGTTTTATGGTATCTCCGATACCATAAAATTCGATATTGGTGCAGTTATAATTACTTAAAATTTTTGTTATTTGTTTAAAATGTGGCGTCCTTGGACAAGTACTAATAGTAATAATGAGTGTGATAATAACGCAGACTTTTTCTAGTGTAGTGATTCCAATAGCGATGGTGAACAATGTGAAAAAGAGATACCAGTGAATAATATTCGGATGCATTTGAATATTGAAACATAGACATAGATTTCAATGTATATAAGAATCTACATCTCAAGTTTGGTTTCGAGGGAAACAAACTATTACAGGCAACATCAGATTTTTCAACTGTACGCAAAATAGTCAAAAACAAAACTTATGAACGCAAGGCGCAATGAGATACAAGATTACCAAAACCTATATCCGAGACCAGATCTAATACTCTACTTGAGAGTGAAATACGGAGGTCAGTTAAGTCAAGGATCCTGTAGAAACGAAACAGAATTCAAAGGTAGCTATAAACCAACGGAAATTATGATAAAGTTCCAATTTCGGAAAAAAGAATTGTTTTGTATCTCTTTCATAGTTACAGAATATCTTCAATGTGAGGTACCTCAATAACAAAGTCTGTTATATGTAGGTGAACAGAGAATCTAGATGCTAGCTTGTTTCAAGGTTTTGTAGCAGTTGAGAAAAAACTCATGTTCATCGATGGAAGAAGTTTAATTTAGATAGGCTTTGTGAGGTCTTACAAATACGTGAATCAGACTTTTCAATTATCCAGATAGTCGACGAACAAATCGATGAATTCATTATCAGTTTGACAAAAAAACATCCAATTTGTACAATGGATTGGCAGGTTAGGATATATGAAATGACCATCCAAATCTCAAGATCTCAGAATGCTTTACATATGTACTGCTATTTGTAGAAATCTGATTTTTAAAGTTTCAAATATAACCTAATTGTACCTATCTAATTGTACCTATATAGAAATATTGAACAAAGTAACGGTATGCCATTTTGAAAATAAACTTCATTACTGTGTAGTACAGTGTGATTTGGCATCTGCTTACTGAAATAATACTCCGAAGAATATCGTTTTTTAAACGAATTGATACAAATCTATCTTTAGTGAAAGTATTCATTGGTCATTCTTCAAATTTCAGTTCTTCTGTCTATACGTGTAGATGTTTTTAAATCACTACCACTACATTTCTTTTTCGAAATGTTTGAGAGTAAGTCTTATGAAGGAACGACAAAATCATTCGTGTAACCATACGTTGAGGTTTGATGGTCTGATGGTCAGTTTGGAGAGCATCAAAGTCTCTGTTACGGGGAAGAATAGTTTTACCAATAATATTGGGTTCGGGTCCTCATTGAGAGCAACAAAACCATTTGTGAAAGAAAATAATCCTAGCACACCAATTGTGATTCTTTCCAATGGTTTCCTAGGTAAATATTGAAAAAAGTGCAATCTCTTCTCCCTCTTCTACATATATTAACCTAAGAATTGCTGGTTCGTGAACCAAACCATGTTCTATGATACTGAACATCTCTTGAAGATACCTTCAATTATCAATGGTTCAAAATGAGCAAAACAATGGCATAATCCATACTTCCATCGCTAGTTCCAGTTTTGTACCCCAAGGTACTCTCGGTGATCTAACCTAGACGAAATGCAGTTTTTTTTTCTCGCAGGGAATTTTTGCAACTTATCTTACTACTGAAACGAAACAAATCAAAAGTTTTCGAACAACTTCAGCTCTGACTCTTCCAGTGTTCTCGATGATTTCCAGTCTGCTTCTGGATAGTCGTCAAAATTGCTCGAATCGCCGTCATACATGATTTTAGGGACGAATGGTGGCTGAAAGAAAAAAAATTAGTCATTACGTCTTCAAGTTTAGTAAACAACGATTGATGCAGAGTATAGACTGAAAAGAGAAATACTACTGTATCAAAAAAGTACCGGGAATTGGCAAATGATACGCAAAATATCTATCATTCAAACAAATTCATTGTATAGCCTTCTAAATATCTCTTAAGATAATGAACACCCCAATCATCAACCCCTTGGCATTTTTTGGAACTGGTTTTAGAACTCGCTGCGAGTTTTCTTTCATGCCATCTATCGACTGAAAACGGGTGTCTTGAAGTGGCCAGTTTGTTCACACGATTATAGCCTTGTGAGATCGTGCATCCTTCACCTTCAGCTGCTCTGACTCCCTCTGACCCGAAGGGTACCAACCTGTAAAGGTCCCTTGCCCAGGGATATGGACATAAGATGCGAGGAATCATCTGCCCATGGTGTGGTACTGTCGTTAACAGCTTCTGGGGGCAACAAAACTTCATGACGAAGCGAGATATCACCATAGCGCCAAAAGAGGATCCGGTCTTGGATCTACAAAGAAGTGAGGCCCGAATGACGAAAGATTCCCAAGCAGGACCAGCAGAAACATGGTTACTAGCTCCAATGGAACTCCATGTACATTCGAGATGACCTAGTCACTCGGAAATCTTCCCAAAAATGTATATTCCGAATATGAACGACGGTAGAACTCCAGCGAAAGTGCTTGGAAGCTACTATTGGGTCAACTGCCACAGAGAGATTGAAGTTCTTCGAAAAAGAGTCTGAAGATAAGCAAAGAGGAAAGTTGAAGCAGTACCTCAGTGGGTGCCTTTTCGAGAGAATTGCAGTTGCAATTCCAAGACCACTTTCTCTGACCACACTCGTTAACAAGTACCTTATGGTTGTGATGAATCATTTCTCGGCGGAATCAAGACGGTTTGAAGTAGTAGCCCTACCCAACCAAGAGGCTAAAATGGTGGCAGCTCTGTTGAAGAAACTAATTGCCACCAACTTCATTTCGGATTTATGGAAGGAAATGATCAATTTGTTGGAGATAAAAAGACAAGAACCAACCGCTTTTCAGCCACAGTCTGATGGAATGGTAGAGGCATAATCGCATCATAAACAACTCTCCAAAAACCAAAGAAACTGGGATAAATTTGTTTCTCTCTTTCTCTTGGCTTACGACAGGTTAACCCGTCGAGAGTGAAGCTTCCATTAGACGTAAAGTGTGGTAGCTCATCTGATGGATCTTAAGAGGTACCCCTTTTCAGACTATGTAAATGACCAAAATGAAAGGATGAAAGTTGTCCACAAATTTGCCAGATCCAAATTACAGCTTTCCAGCATCAGGATGAATGTGAGGTTTGCCAAAAAGTCGATGCTGGTGAGCTTCTAGAAGGGGAGTTTTTACATGGGCTGTGACTTTTTCATTCGGATTATTTTTCGGGACCAATAACCCTAGTTGTGTTCTTGATCCTTCTAGGTGTCGCATCGCTTCGGGAATGATCCCATCGGCTTACGAAGACTTCCAAAGAGATATATGAGCACTACCAACAGGCAGAGAATGCCATTCTAGTTGAAAGTGCGATACGAAGTGAGCTGATAAGGCGATATACATTTGAGTATTAGTCTGAAGTTCAGTTAGAGTTTTTGTATTGTATTGACAATGTAGTAGTGAAATGAAGTTGACTTTGATTGTACAGTGTGGTCAATTATTGTCGAAGCTACGAGGAAAACGTAACACTCTCAAAAGTTTCCACACTGTGGCCTTCATCATTTCTTGACTGAAAAATACGTCTATTACAAAATTGCACATTCAAAAACTTGTTGGGAAATAAAAAAAGGTGATGTTTCGTTACATCATTTTCATTTTGTTGTGGAGACATATCTTCAAGACTGAAATGGTTTTTTGAATGGTTCACAATATTATTTATTTAGACTCCAAACTTACAGTGAGTTTTCTCATGTAAACTTCATGCCAGTCGATTCCTTTGAACCACCTATGCCTTTTTATATCTTCTGCACCACTCTGAAATGAGAGATACATTATTGAAATTAAGAAAATGAAAATGTAGAAAGAAATATGGAGTGATACCAAAAAGTAGAAACAAATAATTATTCAAAATGAAAACAAACAAAATGATTGACTGGAGTTGAGATGAATTTGACTTTGAAATATAAAAATGATGATTAGATGAATAACTTAATGACATGATAGATTTCATCCAATTATGAAAAATTTGGCATGATTTTTTATGGAGAATTCATCTGAATATATTTTTCGATAACATTTTGTAATTATCAATTATATATCATAACTAAAACGTTCGGTGTAATCTCAAAGGTGGAAAAACTATCAACAATAACATACCTTCATGTTTCCTAATCTTTTTGTCCTGTCCTGCACAAGAAGTTTTTTAATTAGGTCTTTGGCCACGGTGTCTAAGTGTTTGGGCCACTCTATTTTACCGCTCAGTATTTTTTCATATATTCCAAATGGATTGTCATCATAAAATGGTGGATATCCGGCTAACATTTCATATATCAAAACACCTGAAAAAAAACTGCATTATAGCGATAGACATGATGAATTAATCAAAATGAGAAACTATATGAACATAGTTTTCACTTGAGCTTGAAGTACAAAACCCTGATCTTTAAAATTCTCAATGACGCTGAATTAGATTGTAACTTTCAAAAGTCTACTCAAAACCTGGCGATAATTCGAAAATGAAATGAGGAACGGATGAGGAGACTTACTGCACGTCTACTGTGAAAATCGAGTATCCCATTATAAACTTGATACTATCAAATTTGACAAGTCTGAAGATAGATTTTTCTTTCATGGATAATTGAATCTTTTTCTGGCACGAATTCAATAATTAAATTTGGTTTTATAATGGAACGCTGAATTGTGAACGTAGCTAAAAAAGATCCTTGAATGGTTTCGGGAGCACAAAGATAACATTTTGCCAATAAAAAACTAACCCCTCTCTGCAGCAGGGACGTAAGAGTATCCCTGCCGAATGATGATGACAGTATTCCTGGATGACGTGTGTTTCCGTGTCAAAAATATTGGACTCCGAGTCAACTCAGTATCCCAAACGAAAACTTTGAGACACCGAATACCCTTTCGATGAATGAAGCATTATCTTGGTGATGTAAAGTTCTACAGAAATAGACCTCCCTCCAGCAGTAGAGAATATTCCATAGGATAGTCTACAGGTGCGATACCAGAGCTGCAATTTCAGGTCTGGATGGCTGAACATACCTTATCCTTTGCTGATGGGTGCAATAAATGCTTTGCAGCCATGTGGGAAATATATTCCTGGAATGCATCGGAGGAGATCTACTTCCCAAGCCAAACAGTTCTGTTGCTTACTTATCTGACAAAGGTATTCGCAGACTGACCGCCGATTAGGTCTTCTCTACATTGGGGAATATATACCATGGTCTGTCAACTTTGGAGAGGGTTATTGAAACAAGTGTGTCCTTTGGAGCAAATGCCAAATTGGATGTGTATCCATTAGTGCTAGAAAGATAGACAGTTCATGAACAAATCATGGGGTAGCTGGAAAGCTATTAACAAAAACCACTCGACGAATTTTCGAATTACGATTTGGCTTTCATGCTAGTTACGACAAGTGATGTATATCATTTATCAGGGTTACAACAGCACTTTCCATATCCTCTCAGAGAAAATGAAGATATGATGAAAAAAAAAGAAGAAAATATCTAACGCCGTTTAGATCAACTTATCTGGAAGAAGGCGGAGGTGATACCAATGCTTACAGTCCCACCAACTGAAAGACATGTGAGCTGATGCATTGAGAATCCAATGGTGACAATACACATGCCAATAAACTAGGAAGGGTGTAAATACTTTCTTGCTCTTAATAACAGGAGCAATGAGAAACATAGGAAGGGAAGCATTTGAAAAACTCTTGAATCTGCTTCCCTGACGAAATAACGAAAGAGATAAGTGTAGGTCAATTGAGAATGGAAAATTCACTGACCCACATATATACCACACTATAAACCACGATTTATTGATTTCAATTTTACATTACGTTGGTCTATAAACTTCAGCTATCACCTTGTTTGCCAATTATCTCAATGGAAGAAGTCAAAGAGTTACGTTTGATGAAACTTTTTTATCTCCCCTATCTCTTCAACGCAGAGTACCACAAGGCTCTATACTTGGACAGATCCTGTTTGCTCTTTACTCCTCCGATCTTATAAAAAATTTGAATCACTGCAAGGTGCACTTTTATGCGGATGACACCCAAATTTACCATAATTTCCCCCCTCTAGTTGTAAATGATTCTTGCATGATACTTAATAAAGACTTGGATAATTTTTATAGGGCTGCAATAGAACACTGTTTACTCCTAAACTCTCAAAAATTAAATGTTCTATTATTTGGACCCAGGTCCAGACGATCTGAAATTTTAGAGTACCTGAACATATCAAACAATGGCGTGAATATCGAGTTGGTGGATGAAGCCAGTCATCCTTGACCATGTTCTTAGAGAACGTTTTCATAAAATCTTGCATGCCGCCAACCTATTCTATAAAATTATTCTTACCAGGAAGCCTGCCTATCTTCATAGAAAATTTCTTTTCGAACGGATGTTTATAATGTTAATATCAGGTTCAGGGTAATACTTACTCCGCCTTATTTTGAAACTGAATTTTTCCGCAGGTGTTTCAGTTATCAAATATACCATGTAATGAATGATCTTCCCCTTGAATTACGTACAGCTGGGTTCCAAAAATTCAAGTATGATCTATTTAGCCATTTATTCAATACACGTCAGTGATATGAATTCAGAACTTCACATCGTTTTGCTCCCACTTCTGTAAACTTACTTGTCGTAGTGTGGACAAATTTGTATATTTTTTCTTTGTTTTTGTATTATTTAAAGAAAATTCAATAGAGAGGTATTTTTTAGGGCTAAGTGGAAAAACAATTCAGTTGTTGAATTTATTCAGAAACTGAACTGAACTTCGCCCTTTATTTTCAATAATATATGTGAGAAGGAATATTATATATTTCTCGATACAAATTTCACTATTGTAGTCGATGGGTAGATGCCTCAATACGAACAAATCACAGTTGATGAAAGAGCTGATGAGTATTCTATACACGCATCGTCAGCACCATAATATGTGGCACCTGATGTCTGAGTACTGATGGTAGAAATGATTACGCTGCTACCTCCCGAAAACCGCCTATTCAGAAGACTTCTGAACAATTTAAACCCCAACTGCAGACAATACAACTGAGAGATAGAGAAAAAGCTCCTGATAAGTCACGTGAATGATTTTTTTTTGTTTATATTATACTTCATTCATTTATTTCTACAGTTCAGATCCACTGATACGATTCTACAGCCGAATTTGTTTCATTCGATGTTATTCCAGCCTTCTAGCGATCAACACATACATCACATTCAGACAAATATGAGGTCATTTGGTACCTTCCAAAATTTCAGTGGAAAATCAATTGAACTCAGCTCGGAATAACCAGTGTATCTTGCTTACCTAATGCCCACCAATCTACGGCTTTATTATGTCCTTTGCTCTGGATTATTTCAGGAGCTAGATACTCCGGAGTACCACACAGCGTCCACGTCCTGTCAGAGAGCTTTTTTGCAAAGCCAAAATCTGTGATTTTCAGGTGACCATCCTTGTCTAGAAGCAGGTTCTCCGGCTTCAGGTCCCTGTATACTATGCTCTTGGAGTGCAAATATTCTAGAGCTGAAACTATTTCTGAACTGTAGAAATTTCCTGTGGAACTGGTGAATCTTCCTGCGTTCCTGAGATAAGAGAAAAGTTCTCCTCCGCACACGTATTCGAAGAGCATGTAGATGCAGGATTCGTCTCTATCGCACCATAACCTGAAATGAAAATGTTTATTTGTTATTTATTCTTCATTGTGACTAGTGGTTCAAACAGAACTCCAACTTTTTCTTTATGATGAGTCAGATAAGGAAATATTGAAACTTTCTGATGCAACCAATGACATAGACAGATTTACATTTCTTCACCTTTCCTCGTGAAGCAAAAAACCTACCTTTTCAAAATTATTCCTGTTTATAATTGTGAATATGATTCATTTTCGATATAAACTTAGTGTTTCAAATCACAACGAAGTGAAGGTTCAAAAAACTTTTAAGATCATGAGCCATTTTGGAATCAATAATTTGAAATGGCCACAAAAATCAAGAAAAGTCAGATTCAGATTTTCAGATTTATTCATCTTCAAAAACATTTACATCACAATTTCAATACAATATTACCTTTTCAAAGCAGAAATAGTCACCTAAGCGCAGTATGGATCTAAGTGTTTGGGCCACTCTATTTTACCGCTCAGTATTTTTTCATATATTCCAAAGGGATTGTCATCATAAAATGGTGGATATCCGGCTAACATTTCATATATCAAAACTCCTGAAAAAATACTGCATTATAGCGATAGACATGATAAATTATTCAAAATGAGAAACTATATGAACATAGTTATCACTTGAGCTTGAAGTACAAAACCCTGATCTTTAAAATTCTCAATGACGATGACGCTGAATTAGATTGTAACTTCCAAAGATCTACTCAAAATCTGGCGATAATTCGAAAATGAAATGAGAAACGGATGAGGAGACTTACTGCACGTCTACTGTGAAAATTGAGTATCCCATTATAAACTTGTTCTGCCGAAATGGACCTCCCTCCAGCAATGAACCGTGAAGTAACCAAAGTATCAGATCCTGAGTCTACAGAGAAAATAGACATCGGCTAACCGACTCTCTTGTAACTTTGAATCAAGAGCAAGAGGTTCTCAGTTCTCCAACTCTTGATCCTGAACAAACCAAGGAGATTCGATGACGCAGTCAGGAAGCGATTTATCGCCTACTCAAGAGCAAGATAACTCATAACTCTGCCTTGCACTAAATTATCGAGCAACAGAAACAAAATCTGCAGTAGGAGAAGAAACAGATTTCCCCTGAGCTGAAAATTGAATGCACCTTGAACACCTCAATATTTACCAATCAGCTCGATTCTCTTCAGTGTGCCATAATGGCTGGCGTAGAGAATATTCCATAGGATAGTCTACAGGTGCGATACCAGAGCTGCAATTTCAGGTCTGGATGGCTGAACTTACCTTATCCTTTGCTGATGGGTGCAATAAATGCTTTGCAGCCATGTGGGAAATATATCCCTGGAATGCCTCAGAGGAGGTCTACTTCCTAAGCCAAACAGTTGTGTTGCTCACTTATCTGACAAAGGTATTCGCAGACTGACCGCCGGTTAGGTCTTCTCTACATTGGAGAATATATACCATGGTCTGTCAACCTTGGAGAGGATTATTGAAGCAAGTGTGTCCTTTGGAGCAAATGTCATGTAGTTGTGCAATTAGTGCTAGGGTAGCTGTACAGATATTAACAAAAATCACTCGACAAGTTATGAAACTAGGATTTAGCTTTCATGCTAGTTACGACCACAAGTGTTATACTCATCAAGAGAAGAAGAACCAGAAAATATATTTAGTCGTTTAGATTACCTTATCTGAAAGAAGGCAATGCTCACCAGTCACACCTACGAAAAGACATGTGAGCTGATGTATTGGTAGTCCAATGGTGACAATACACATGTCGATAAACTAGGAAGAGTGTAAATACTTCCTTGCTCTGTAATAACAGGAGCAGTGAGGAACAGAAAGAGAAACATTCGAAAAGCTCTTGAATCTGCTCCCTTCACACCTACCGCAATAACGGAAGAGATAAGTGTAGGTCAATGGAAAATTCACTGAGCCACATAACCTGCAAAACGGAAAATCTAATATATGTTGGAACAAACATTATATATTTCACGATACGAACTTTACTATTGAAGTTGATATAGAAATTGGTCTGGGAAAGCCATGAAGATTCAAAGTAAAGGAACTGGTGGTAGGATAGGTGGGTAGATGCCTCAATATGAAGAAATAATATTTGATGAAAGAGCTGATGAGTGTTCTAGACACATATCATCAGCACCATATGTGGGACCTGATGTCTGAGTTCTGAAATCTCTGATGGTAGAAATGATTACGCTGCTACCCCCCGAAAACCGCCTATTCAGAAGACTTTTAAACAAAATAGAGCCGTACAATTGAAACCCTACCTGCAGACAATACAACTGAGAAATAGAAATAGCTCTTAATAAGTCTTATTCTACAGTTCAGATCCACTGATACGGTTCTACAGCCAAATCGATGGAATTCCAGTTCTGTAGTGATCAACAAAAACATATCACATTCAGACAAATATGAGGTCGTTTGGTTCCTTCTGAAATTTCAGTGGAAAATCAATCGAACTCAGCTCGGAATAATCCGTGTATCTTGCTTACCTAATGCCCACCAATCTACGGCTTTGTTATGTCCTTTGCTCTGGATTATTTCTGGAGCTAAATACTCTGGAGTACCACACAGCGTCCACGTCCTGTCAGAGAGCTTTTTTGCAAAGCCAAAATCTGTGATTTTCAGGTGACCATCCTTGTCTAGAAGCAGGTTCTCCGGCTTCAGGTCCCTGTATACTATGCTCTTGGAGTGCAAATATTCTAGAGCTGAAACTATTTCTGAACTGTAGAAATTTCCTGTGGAACTGGTGAATCTTCCTGCGTTCCTGAGATAAGAGAAAAGTTCTCCTCCGCACACGTATTCGAAGAGCATGTAGATGCAGGATTCGTCTCTATCGCACCATAACCTGAAATGAAAATGTTTATTTGTTATTTATTCTTCATTGTGACTAGTGGTTCAAACAGAACTCCAACTTTTTCTTTATGATGAGTCAGATAAGGAAATATTGAANAACAGCAGTGGTCCCAGGACACTCCCTTGGGGTACGCCTATATTGTTTGAAATTTCATTTGAGAAACATTTCCCCACCCTAGTTATTTGTGGCCTGCCATTGAGATAATTTTTGAACCAATTTAAGGCTATTCCATCGATTCCATAGTATCTCAATTTCGCTATATAAAATCATTAAAAATAATGTCTCGAAATGGTAAATAAATATGTTCGTATAAAACAAGAAAAGGATTTTTCATTAATGTTTCACCCTTTTGGAGGAAGCCTCACCAAAAGTCTGGGTTTTGTAGAACTTAAGATGGCCATTTTGTTTTGTCTTGTGATGCTATCACATTATCTGTTCATTATGAGACCTGTGTATTTGTATCATCAGTATTTATGAATATTTCTTCAGCATTAGCACAGGAGCACATTCTTGAATATAAAAAAAATGGGCACAAATTAGATTATTTCTTGCTCTACATCTAACCATACATATTGTCATACATCTAATGCGGCACAATTTTTCTAGTAAGAGTGTCTGATTAACTGTTTCAAATATTCTTCCAAGGTCGAAGGTCCTGTGTTCGTGGATTCCTTATTTCTAAACCATTCGATAAATTAACATGAACTTTAAATTTTCNCTACCTGAAAATTAATATGCCGACGCCTATGTCGAGGCGGGAATTCCTTCTCTGTGCTGTTCCAATTGGTATTGGAAATACTATACCACATGGTATTTTTTGGGTGATTGAGTTCCTCAGGGAGACTGTCTCACGTTCACAGATGCGTCGTGGTCTCTCAATCAATGTATCTGTAGAGTAGGGAGGGTGAGTGCACTTAGGCCTCATATGACCCATTGTACATCCTCCCGAGGAGTTGTCCTCCTAGGTCATCGTCCATCCTGTCCTTTCCAGGAAGGTGAACAGGTCACTAGGATACATCTCCTTTATATCGGCAGGTGTAGGCCAAGACTCGCCGAACACATACTCTCTCATTTCCATTGTGACTTTCTTCAGCCAATCTAGCGTCACGTCGTCATCGCAGACCACTCTGATGATTTCACCGGAGCATGTCCACGACTTGAGAACGTGGGCGGTTTGCTGTTGCTGCTGAAGGCGAAGAAGATGATTTTGTTCAGCTCCTCAATCAGTTGATTTTTGAAGAGACTTTTCCGTTTTGTGGTTACCTTACCGTACGGATTATCTATGATTACAATCTTCAGGTGTCTCACAGTGGCCTCCTCGAAGGTTTTGGAAGGTGCAGAGACATTACTGTCGTTGCGCGGCTTCCTCAACCTTCTTGGGGTTCCCTCCGTGGAGGTGCTCAAGTGAGGACGCTTTCCTGCAGAGAATGAAGATGCAATTTCATGGTAATAGTTATAATATTTCTGACCAGTTTTCATTTTTCAGAATGTTTTTAAATGGTGTTGTATTGCTCACTCATTCTATATTATGCCTGAAAATGTACGAGAATACGTGTCTCGTGGATTCGGTTTGGTTTTTGGGTTTTTCGGAACGAATCGAATAAAGATCTTTTTCTAATTAGCAAAAATAGCTCATGAAAGGATCATTAAGAGTTTTTATGGCTAGTCGAAATCACCATTTTTAATTGCTTCCACTTTTTTTAATGAAAAATCCAATGGAAAAATAAACCTCATTGTTTATGTATTGGGACAAACATTTATAAAAAGGATAAGCTGATGTCAACGCGTTGAAATAGGTTCAATCGATTTCTTTGGTTATTTTTGCATACTATTTATTTAAAGAAACTAATTTAGTTCCTTGTTTCTCATCAATCTATCACATACGTGAGTATGACTAGTCTCAAAGATTTTGCCGGTTCTAAGAATAAAATTTCATCAACTTATTTTCGGTTCATATCATGCGTGGGGATATGGGAAGGTGGAAAATAAATAATGACTTTTTTTAATTGAAAGTAATTATTCTCAGTTTGAGTCTTATACTTAGATATATTACATAATTCTACAGATAAAAGCACTTTTTTCTTTGAATGAAATGAATTGAATACGAACATTTTTGAATTCTTCAACATTATTGTCGTTATTTCATGCGGAAGAAGAGGATTCTCAATAAAAAGTGGAACTTCTTAGAAACAAACTGAATAACATAGAAATTTTATATATTTATTAATTAAACTGAACCTAAAAAATGTCAAAAACTGAACCTTACAATCAACCAAGGAATAGACATTTCGCAGAAAATGATGTTTGGAAAAGCAATTTCCATGTTAGATTGTTCTTTGGCGAATGGAAATTGCTGTTAATTTAAAAGTTCGCGATAAGAATTACAATATTTCAATATTTTTTCTTCTTAACTCACCGAAGTGATTTTTATTTACAATTTTCTGATAAATAGTTCACTCAATTTCGTATACAACTATTAATCAACGGAATTTCTTCCAATTATCATCACAACTGTAATATTGTGCATCGACTATCGATATTTTTATCGTGATCAAAGAATACCCCAAGGTCATCATCACTTTCGACTTTTTTTTCTAGGATTGTATTCTCACCTTTATGAGAAAGTGCCAAGCCCATAAGCCCAGATGAGAACAGAAAATAAGTGACCAGATGAAAGTGAATCGCAAGAATCTTTGACCCTGCCAGTGAAAACGAGTTTTGAATTATCTCAGCGCGACGGATGTGATTCAATAACACATTGAGGATTTCCCAAGTACAACATTGTCGGAATTTCTGGGAGCAAACTTGAATCTGATCTATAAAACATGTATTTGACATTCCAATTGAAACGAGTCACCCTGAATAAGTTAGTTGATATAAGGAGTATTAGAAATGTGCAAGAGGAAAACATTTTCCTATGTAAAAATCAAGTCAGAAATGTCAAACAGAGATGATATTCGAGCAATGAGAACTTATGGTGAAAGGCTTTGAGTTCTATGTCAAAATTATTCTGTAACAGGGATGTCTGCAAACTTTTGTTATCAGAGTTCATTCGTCCTGTTTGCACTCGACGTATTATTCCATTTATCATCTATTGTTTTGTAGAAAATTAATTATATACTTCAAGACCTGATTGATAATATAGGTTTGTACTATGAACTATTCAAGAACTACTGCTCGTGTTCTCTGAGGGAATTATTCAAGTAGACATAAATATGTATTGGAATTGTTACATATATTCATGGAAACTGGTAACGATATCAACAAGCAACATTCCATGGCCCATCAGGATTGGGTAATAACAAAGGACTGCTATACTTCTAGGTCATATTGACTTGGTGGAAAATACGGTCTTTGATTGGGTTGCCATAAGCATCGGGACTGAGTAGTATGAACATTTTTAGGATTCTTCATCGACTCCCTTATAAAATTAGAATGATTCATGAATTGAACGATGATTATTTCTATAGAACAGTTGAATTTTGTGAGATCCTCCCGGAACGATTTCTTTGGTGTAGTTACACTACATGTTTCTTGGATGGATGCACCTCTTCTGTATCTATATTTGTAGGAAGTAGTGAGTGTAGGCCCACAGCACTTAGGCCACATGTGACCCATTGTACATCCTCCCGAGGAGTTGTTCTCCTAGGTCATCGTCCATCCTGTCCTTTCCAGGAAGGTGGACAGGTCTCTGGGAGACATTTCCTTTATATCGGCAGGTGTAGGTCAAGACTCGTCAAACACACTCTCTTATTGACGATAACTTCGGGCACTCGCATAGGACATGCCTGACAGTCTCATCTTCCTGTTCACACATCCTGCATAGAGGTGTGTCCACTAGCCCCATATTGTGGAGGTGTTTACTTAGTTGACAGTGGTCCGTCAAGAATCTTACTATTAACCGTAGATTTTTCCTGGTCATCGCCAGATATTTCTTCGGCGCAAGCTTTGCATCCTTTGATTCCATCCTATCTCTCTAGGGATTGAGCATGGGTGTGTTCCGCAATTCTCCAAGTCATCAGGCCATAGGTGCCACTGGATCTTAAAATTCTCAGTCCAGCTGCTTCCTTGGCTAAAGAGTCGGCAATGCGATTACCTTTACTCCTGTTGTGCCCTTTAATCCACCTCAGGATAATGTTATTATCTACCGAGGCTTTGGCTAAATCTTGGTGGCCGTCTAGTACTAGCCCCTAGGAAACATGTTATCTGTTCAAGACTAATAGGGCTTGTCTGCTATCAGATTGTTATGTTTCTGCCAGAAATTCCTTTCCTGGTTATTTCTTTGGTGGCGATTGAAATACCAACCAGTTCTGTTTGATTATCATTTCCTACCACGTAGTATTGGTTACATCCATCAATTTATCCAACCAGTTCTGTTTTAACCAGGCTGGTATTTCACTCATTCCCCACCTAATCCTTAGGCTTAGTGATCTGTAGTTACACTACAGATCCTGAGCCTTCTTTGGTTTTTGAGCCGTCTGTATATATGCGTATTGCATTTATAGCATCTGACTCTGTTTTATTTGTATTTTGTAGGGTTTATTAAACACAAACGTGGGTTCAATTGAATTGCATCTCTGGTTGCCTGCAGCAGACGTTACGCAGTAAGCGCTTTCCGCTATAAGCTCAGCCTCAATCGACCCATTCCTACTTCGAATGGGCAAGTGAGTAGTAAAAATATTACATTGCAAATTATTACGTTCTGATAAGCATCAATAACACCATCCAGTTAGATCCTCTATTGCGAAAAGAGGTAATTTTTCAACAAGATGGACCTCCTTCTCATTACTATAATAACACGTCAGTGCTAGATAATAACTTTTTGGGTCGATAGATTGGATGAAGTTCTATAGAATAGTCACATAAATATCCTGATTCCTCTCCACTAGATATTTTTTAAGGCATGGTGGAGATCAAAAGTCTACGAGACTCAGCTTACTACCGGAAGAAATTACTT